GATGCTACTTGAGCATCAACTGTTACCTACTGAAGTATTAATATCATCTAGAAAAACTAGAAATATTTTGATTTGATATTCGAGTAGATACTTCGTATTTCGAGTATGAGCATCTACTGAGTTTTATTTATATCAACCATTGTCAAAAAATTGATCGAACGTTGTTTTGACAGAACTTCCTTCCCACCAAGAGTATAATGAAACATATTCAGCATTTTCGAGTTGAGTATTTTCTTCACACAATTTTGTGATGACCTAATCAACATTTACGATCAACACGTATACCACCTTGGATTGGTGCAGTGTAATACTAAAAATAACTGTATTGTATTCCCAAAATTATCTGCGAAAATCGAGTGAGCCATTCCATCAATTTTTTGGGAGCAATAAATAAATATTCTTAACAATTTACCATGCTTACAATAACTTTAAAACGTCTACAAGATCTCAAAGTATTCATTTTTGCAACTCTTGAGTTATTCACTAAAATAAATTGACTGATCCATATATTTTTTTGAGTCACTGTAAAAGCAAATCTAAAAAATATTAATGCAATGATAAATTACGAAAATATACTGATGATATTTTCCACATTTTAGATAGGATCTATTCGGCAAAATCTTGAGATGACGTCTTCAAGTTTTTGGGCTTGATAAACAGATATATTTTGATTGAAAACCTACCATGCCAAACAGTAACTTCAAAACCTCTGCAATATTTCAAAATTCAGTTTTGCAATTCCTGATTCAATCAATAAAATAAATTGACTCAGTGATTAATTTTTTGAGACACCGCCTATAAGCAAAACTAAAACATATGAATGGAATGATAAATCACAAGTATAGTCTCATCCTATTTTGGACATTTTAGATAGGATTCATTTGGCAAAATTTTGGGCTGACGTCATCAATTTTTTGGAGGGGATAAGTAAATATATTTTAAATAAAAATTTATTATGCTTATCATATGTTTAAAACATCTGCAAGTTTTCAAAGCATTCGATTTTGCAGATTCAAAATTAAATTGTAGGTGAAACGAAGTTCACGGGGTCAGCTAGTAAATAATAAAGTCCATCAAAGATAACTTTATTTAATATTTACAATGTAAAAACCAAGGCCTGATTTGTGTATCCATGCGCGACAATATTCTCTTGAAAAATTTAATTGGTTATCCCTATTCCACCAAATATTAATTTCTCTTGAAGTACTCCGTCGTCCACTTTTATAAATTTTCATCATTTGTCGTTGATCACACGGTTTCACAAATGGTGGCCTACCGGGAATTTTGGCTTTTATTCCTATGGTACATACCTCTGTCTGCGCAATATTTTACGATGTTTCCCATCGACGACGAAGCTATTTGGAACAAATCTGCACTTTTTCTTATCGATTTTCCCTTGCAGGACTGCGAAATTATTATTTTCAGATCATTTCTAAACCTAGCACACTGCTAACTATTTTTGTCTAAATAAAACCAACACTAGTATGAAACGCTACGATCCCTATAATAATGGCAGCATTTACCAGCTACCAGTGGCGGCTCGTGGTGATTTTTGATGGGTGGGCAAAGCATTATAGGTAGGTTATGTTATAACATGTATGAAAAAAAATATATATACATATATATAATTAATCATTTTTGTGAGAACGTGTTTTTGTTTCGGTGCTGCATGTCAATCAATATAATATAACAAATATTTTATGTATATTACATATATATTATTTTATAAATGTTACTTACAATGTCGGTCAGCAAGAACCAACGAGAACGTCGAAGACTCTTGCTAGAAGAGGAAAGAGGAGCAAAAAAAAGATTCAGCACATAAATAGATTTGTTAGGAGTTTATAGAACTATAAACTCAAATAATGATCCCAACATGTAAAGATTTTGAAATAACATGACGAGAAAACATTAAATTTTAAACCTTTGAGATAAGCTACACTTAGAAAAAGCAGCAATTTGGAAAATTATTGTAAAAGCAAAATTAAAAATGCCAAATGAAACAAAAAATTGTAGTAAGCCGTTTCGAACCAAATTTCTGCGCGCCGAACTTTTGGTAAGAAAAGGTGTAGGAATGGAAAGAAACGAAAACCACTAAGAGGGAGATGCGCAGAAGGGTGTGTTTGAGCAGGGTGAGTCGCGGCCAGTTTGACTTGGTCTTTCTTTCGAGTAAGACGTCAGGTTGGTGCTCTCTGTGTTTTTTTCAAATGTCTGTGCGCTGTTTGTTTCCTGTTCTAGTGCTGATTTCTTCTAACGGAGTTCCACCCCCCTGACGAACCAGCGAACGTAAGAATTCTCTGCTACGTTCGAACACAGAGAGGTTATTTCGGTGGTGAGCACGTATTTGGTTTGAAGATCCGAGAGGTATGTTTCCACGTGATTCCGTGTGTGCTGGTGGAAGAAGCGGCGTTGCTTCTCGATGGTTACGGAGTATGTGAGACGCGGGAACCACACACATATGTGACGCGACAAAAATGGCGGCTTCCGGATGACGCCATGGCCGTTAATTTTCGTACTAATCTTTTCAACATAATTTCAATTCGTTTTAGTAGGGCTTTTCAGGGAATTACGTTAGCTAGGGCAGTTTTATTTAGCGAATGTTTTGCGGAAAGTTGGATGGCAATTTTCGAGGTATTATTTTGCGTTGCATAATTTCAGCACGTGTGAGTAAAGTAAATTCAAACATGATCTGAACAAGCGAATCTTTAACAAAAATAACGCTGAGAACGGCATCAGAAAATTAATAATATCATTGTCTGGGGGACGGGGGATTTTCTTTGTATTAGTAACATCAATTAATTAGGCACATCAATTTGGCTGACATTATAAGATCTAAGATATTTGAATGGCTTTTCCTCGATTTATTATTCATTTGTTGTAAACTCTAATTCTGGAAAGAGAAAGTGGTAAGGTGCAAGTACGGGGTGTTGACCGGGGAATTTCAAGGGCAACCTTTGTGAATTTTTGTATTAGTCATTGGGGATTTGTTGTTGACCGAAAACTGTTGATGAATTTGAAAATGAATGTTATTGAAAGAAAGGCACAATTCAAAGCGAATGTGCACCGACGATTACCTATATTTTATTTATTTTGCATATTTTATGTGCGGTATTTTTTTATGTGTTTTGTTTATCTCGTATGTGTTTTTATTTATGTGTCTTTTGTTTGGGGATGTGTTTGGGGGGGGGGGGTTGTTTTGTTTAATTCGGTCAATGACGTGTTTAATTCGGTCAACAACGTAACTTTGCCCAGACCATTTTAATGCAGTCGTAACTTCTTTGCTTAATGTCAGATAAATATTTCAATAAAATCCATAGCTTCTTTATTTTCTTTGGTAAGAATCAGCGACGTAAATGTAGCTTAATTTCAATAAAATCATCGCCAAAATGTGAATAATTTAATCTCTTTCAAAATTCTTGTTCTTTAAAGTTATTGACAAAACATGAATAATTTCTCATTTCATTTTCCTTGTTGTATAAGATTGTTGATCACACGTGCATAATTTAATCTCATTTAAATTTCTTTGTTATTTAATCAAGTGTTGATGGAGTGTGGCCAATTAAATTTTGTTTATTGCTTGTCTGGAATCCAAATACTCATTCTGATAACGCTAGTTAACTCGGGGGTCGTGTGGCGTGGACGCGGTGGCGTCGGCGTCTCCGTGCGAGTGTCTGAGGGTCTTGCTAGACTTCCGGCCCTAGCGGACTCGGAGTTTACACAGCTACCTTGTTTGCGGGAAACAGGAAGGTCAACCTATGTCAGGTGGGTGCGTAAGACCACGCGCGTGAAGTGGTGAGGTAGGACTATGTGGACCTTCACGGGAAGTGTGGCCGTCGCCCTGCACTCGCTGTGCGCCCCCATCTTGTTTGTAGAGGCCACACTACCGAAATATCTGGGACGTTGCCATCCATTTACTTTCTGAGAATTCCGCGACTTTTTATTTTGTTTCTTGTTGTACTTGTAAGGTTGTTAAGATTTATTCTATGTTCTCAGGTTCGAGTGAAAATAAAGGTTTTTTTTTTCTTTGAGGAATAAATTCTTTAAGCTCTTCTGGGGCCCTTGGCCAAGGTCTCTTGAGCTCTTATTGGATTTATTTTTCATAGTTTTTTTTTCCAAATATAAGTTTTTTTAAATCCGTCACTCTTCCCGCTCCGCAGTGCGCCAATTTGTATGAACGAACGCCTCCCGCCAGTTTTCAAAACACAATGTAGGGTCCCACTTTTGTAGACGATCACAGCCAAGGCCAAATTTCAAATTTTAGCGGGCTTTTTCAACCTTGGTTCAATGTCAAATAAAAGGCGGGAGGTTTGGGTTATTACAAAATAAATTCTCAAAATACTAACAAAGGTAACAATAACAAATAAAATAAAAATAATTCCAAAATAATCGTTCTGAAGACCACTAATTACCAAAGACTCCTCCAAAAGACTTTTTAAATTTATCATCGAATTTACTTTAAAGCATGCAGAATCGACTCAGAATAGGAAAAGGAGACGTTTAGGTCAATTTTATGCATTCTGGCGTTCGTAGATACAAGAAAACTGTTAAAATTCTTCAGAAACGTCACTTTTGAAGTGTTTTCTTGTACTTTTAAGCCACTCAGATATCCTACGGGCTCGGAAAGTGCAACGAAACCATCAAATTTTAGCTAGAAACTGTATTTTTGTCGATTTTTATTGAATTTGAACTATATTTCAACGTTTTTTGATGGTTCTGAGCCACCAAACACACTTAAAGAAATTTGCGATTCATCTTGTCCCCGAAATGTATGTTTTTGTGTAGCCAAGAAAATTATCATATCGAATAAACGCCGAATTTAAGAGAATTTTCTATAGTTTCACTTCGTTTTCCAAGTAATTTTCGTTTATTCAGATTGGTCATGTTTTTGTAAAGCAGTAGCGATATATTTTATATCGCTCTTCTTGTGGAATTCTAAAGTGTTCGTAATTTAATTTTATGTTAAATAGCAGACAATCCCAACAGTTTTGTTTGTTGTTTCACTACCGATCAACCAATAGGTAATATTTATTGTCCGAACTTTGATTAAAGCCCTTATTACTGCCACGAGAGTTTGTGATTACCAATTGTTTCATTTCGGGACATGATCTTAATTTATAAACAAATAATTCATAAATATCAAGTTCCATACTACTGAATTTATTTATTAAAAACAAAAACTCAATGTCTTTAATGCCTTCTTTACCACCTCTCTAATATTATTTGCACAGCTTAGTCGGATTTGCCATAAAAAAAAATTGCTAGAAAGTACCTACTTTGGTACCCGCCTAACTATTTGGTAATTTGAATAAGCTACATTTTATAATTAAATGCACTATCCAGAATGCAGTTTCTGATCTGACTGAATTCAATTGAGTCGTGTCTCCGACGAGGACGAACCATGCCGAGTGCTTCCGATTTTCAGGGTGGATTTGCCCATCCCAGAAGCGAACAAACCTGTGCGGAGAGTCTGAATTAAATAATAAATTAAGCGTATATTTAACTTTTGTTGACTCTGCTACAGTTACATTTATGAAACAAAAATGCATATGTAATAATAAAAAAATACACATGTCAGATACGTACTGCAATAATAAATGTATTACTTATTCTCATCATTGGTTATTCGGACTTTTAAATTTATAATCTTAATATACACTCACCGGCAAAAAAATCGAATCATTAGTATTTTTGTAGAAATCTTCAATAAATTCTGGTGTGCGTCACATTTATAAGACAAATTAGTTTATCTAGGACAAAGGAGATGAGAAGGTAACGGGACCTTCGCTGAAGTTGCAACAATTACGAGTTTATTAAAAAATACCAGAAAATCCATTACATTAAACCAACAAAAGACTACTTAACATATCATTATTAACGACTGTTGCCGCCTGTAGCTTGCATTACGGTTGCCATACGTTTTCCCATGCCTTCTATGAGGTGTCTAATCTCAGCCTGGGCTAATTGGTCAAATTCTTCAACTAGCGCATTTGCAAGATCTCTTATGTGTTGTACGGCCGGCACACGTGGTCTGATACGTCTACCTAACATGTCCCACACATGCTCAATTGGATTCAGGTCGGGACTGCGTGCTGGTCATTCCATACGTGAAATCCCGAATTCGTCGAGGTAGGTTTGTACAACTCTAGCGATATGTGGTCTAGCATTATCATGCATTAGAATAAAATTATCGCCAATAAAAGGAGCAAAAGCTACGACATGCTCTTGAAGAATATTTGCTACATATCGATCAGCATTCATTGTGCCTCTATCCACCACTACAAGTTCCGTGCGAGCCTCGGCAGAAATTCCTGCCCAGACCATCACTGAACCTCCATGAAAACTTAGTCTGGAAAGAATATTGCACTGAGCCTACCTTTCGCCTCTTCTTCGCCATACACTTTGACGGCCGTCAGGAGAACGTAGACAAAAACGCAACTCATCTGTAAAGAGTACTTGGCCCCATTGGGCAAGATCCGAGTTAACGTGTTCTCGAGCAAATGCAAGTCGAGCTACTCTGTGTCGTGGGAGAAGTTCTGGGCCACTTGCAGGTCTACGGGCCCTCAATTCAGCTGCAGTTAACTTTTTTCTTACAGTTCTTTCACTTACACTAACTCCTCGTGTTTCTTCAAGTTGATTTCTGGCCTCAACTGCGGTCGTATCCCTATTACGGAACACGGTCAGCGTTAAAAAGCGGTCATCCCGAGCCGATGTTTTCTTTGGACGACCCGAATCAGGTCTTCGGCTGTATGATCCAGTCTCATTAAACCGTCGTACAGTTCTGTGAATGCTCACTTGTGATACCCCTAACGTATTGGCAACGTACCGTTAACTTCGACCATCCTGAATAAGAGCAATTGCTCGTGCTGCATTAATGGCCACAATACTCATGTTAATTGACAAAAACACAGTTTTCATCAAATCACAATGACAAACCGTCTGTTAATGCCCTCTAAACGTCACAACTGCAAATCTCATTGTTGGAAAAAACTTATCATCTTCAGATTTGAGGTTCATATCATGTACAAAAAAGAACCAAAAACCTAGTGTTAGTATATTTTGTGTGATTTTTTCAAAACTGATATTGACTGTAGCCAAACGTTTAAAAAAGGAACCATTTTCAATACAAACTTTGGGTGATTCGCTTTTTTTGCCGGTGAGTGTATATAAATCTCGTGTCATCTTAATATATATATAAATCTTAATATATATAAATCTCGTGTCACAATGTTGGTCCTCAATGGACTCCTAAACCACTTAACCGATTATAATAAAATTCGCACACCATGTGCAGTTCGATCCAACTTGAGAGATATGATAGTTTAAATCTCAAATTATAGTCGTAATTTTAATTTATTGCTAATTATTTGTCTGCTATTATTTGACAGTCACAATTATCTGTTAACTCCAAATGATTCTAACAGATGTCGATACCTTTCGACTGGGTTCATAGATAAATAATACTACGTAAATAGAATGCAAACTCCCACTTGATTTTTGGTCTCAATAAACGCCCCCTGGTGCCTTGTGGCCGGTGCTAAAGCATGCTACTAGATGCGTCATTGCTGCATATTTTATAATTAATATTTTATTTTTATTATCACTAATAATATCAAAAACACAGAGTAGAATAATATACAATTTATTAGTATTGTCTACGATTTTTTGACTTTAATTTTTTTTGGTACATTATACAAGCGTTTTGATATAATGCATTTTTATGTGTGGAAACTCTTGTATCGCGACCGCTTAAAATTAAATTCAAACCTTTTACAAACGTAAAAATTGTTAAATATATAATTTTATTACATATTTCACTTTCAATTAATTCCTTATGTTCACAATGAAACGAAAATTTGACATGATGAGATACTATAAACGAAATTTTGTTTTTGATGTTGTCGAAAGATGTACAATTGTTTAAAACGATTCTTGAAATATTATAAATTCTGTTAATGTTTTTTATAAAATCTAACTTACAATATTGCAATTTTCTGTTATTACAATTATATTCTCTTATACGTATTAATTTGTAACATTGTTCGTCTTCCAAAAAATTGTTTAAAATTTGGGTTTTACAATATTCACACTTCAAATTTCTTAATGTTTTCGCAACCCAGCCAGACACATAACCAACAATACTTTTATGAAGATCTTTTTCTAAATTATATGCAGACAGTTTTGAAATGTACATATTCACGTTTAAAATTTCGTAACTCGTTTCATTTACTGAAGGTTGATTTATGTTTTTATCCACAAGTCTTTTAATATGAAATAAATCCGGTATGTTCGTTTTCTCACAGTTTGCGCCCACTGAATTTGAACTATAAAAATTGCGTAATAATAGAGATTTGAAACTTTCCTTAAATTGGACTGCCGTTAGATTAGTTGCTCGATTTCTTTGACTTCTGATTTTGCCAAAATAGTTTTCAATAACATCTTGATTTAAACATCTAGGTAAAAAATATTTGCACCTGCCCTGTTCTACTAAAATTGTATGTAAATCCACAAAACCTTCTAACGTTGCAATCCAGTTTTTTATACACGGAGGTACTACCATTTTTCCGGCCTCATCGACGAAATACATATCACCCAAAATTTTGATAGCTTCCTTCCAAAAATGTTTATGACCAGAAGATTTAAATACGCCCCCAGAAAATGGTTTTCCGCACCGTGGTTGAAAAGTACTGCCATTTACACTGTCGAAGAGCTTGTCAAAAAATTTTATAATTCGTGCTGTTCCCATTGCCTCGTTTGTTAAACTGCATTCGGCTGTAAAATTAAATTGTAAATGAATCTGTTAATTATTTTTAAATTTGTATTTACTAGATTTAACCAATAGCGTAATAGTCGATGCCATTGAGTGACTCAAAACTTGTGTCGCATAGCACACCTTCATCTTTTGAATTTTTTCCGGAATTACGTGGAGATCCGTAATTTTGTGTAGAGCCCGTAATTCTCCACATGTTTGATCACTGTAGTACGCATCGATTATATGTTTCCAATTTGTAACCAAAATTTCCTCGCTTGTTTTCCACACTAAATTTTTAGTAAGCAGATTGTTCCTAATACATTTAATTAAATGAGGCGTGTCATATAATGGAATAATTTCTTGATCCCCTAATAAAATTCTTCTTTTAGGTTCCATCCCTTTATGTATATAACGTTGTTTCGACTCCTTTAGCAGAGAATTTATAGCTGCTTGGTTTGGTTGGCCTTGATCACAAATTGTAACCAGAATTTTGAATCCACAATTTTGTATTTTTTCAACCAGAGTTTTTATAATAGTTGTCAATATGTAAGATTTTGTAGACGAAAAAGAAAATGCAAAGTATATTGGCTGTTGCCATTTTTTAAACACTCCGCGAATGAAAAAAACAAGAACATGATCTGCTATCTGTAAATTTTGTTCAAATCCAAAATTTTGAAATCCGAAAAATGTATCCGTATATTTGTCATAGTCTATGTGGGGCATTATGGACATTTCATCAAAAATTAATGCACATATTCTATCTTGGTTATTTAATTTTGAAGCAGATTCTTTAAGATTGTCGAAAATTATTTTGTTTATACCAACGTCTACTGGAATTTTGTTCAACATAGACATAATTGTTTGACGTGAAGGCAGTGCAAAAATCTGTCTCATTTTTCTATAACATCTCCCAGACTGTTTATAAAACATTAATGCAAATAATTTATCTTCAGTGGTAAACCTGCGACCCTTTGGTTTGACATTTCGTCTTTTTAATTGTGATAAACAAAAATTTATAGCATCCTGACTTAAAATTTTGCTGTCTAATTTTACTTCAAATTTGGAGTATAATTTCAATCGTTGGCGATACGAAGCTACCTTAATTTTGTTTCTACGGGCTGTACGCGAAATATTCCTAGAATTTGAATGTAAATTTAGTATTCGAGAAGATTCTTGGTTTAAAGTTTCGTTTAGGGTTTCTCTGGAATTTCGAGATACTTCAGTACAAAATTTTTGAGAATCCAGTATAGAAATAGGGTTTACGGGATCATGGGTGTGTCTTTCGGAGTCGTTCATATTATCTGAAATTATTGTAAAAATTATCTATGGCATTCACTTGCACACAAATATTTACCATGCTGTAAGGATCCAATTCGAATTTTTAAATTTCAAATGAATTCCGCGCGCACAAGAAACGGTTAGTGAGAAGAAGGAGAGGTTGGCAACCAACCACCCCAAGGAAACAGGCGTGCGCAAAGCGGGTGGTTTTGTCTCGGGTAAAACCGGGCACTTCGCTTTGACCGCTTGGAACAAACGGTCGACTTCTTTTCGAGCGCTTCGAGCAACAGGTTGTATTTTTAATTGTGAATTATTCTGTGCCTTTTGCTGTTGTGTTTTGTTTTTCCAGTGTTGATCTGTTCCATTGGAAAACCTAGCAGCCCGTTGAGCCATTGGGTGTTCCTGATTTCTCATCGTTCTTACAACGAGGTTTTTGCGTTCCTTTTGGCGGTAAGCCGTGTCGAAATCTTCGCATCTTTGGAGAGGTATGTTTTGAACACCTGTTTCGCGGCGAATTTCAAGCCCCGACGATGCTTCTGACGTCGTGACGCAGCGACGCGTGCGCTTGTTTTTCCACTAATCTCGTTTTTTTATCTTTCATTTAAAATCCATCGCAGTAGGGCTTTACAGGAAGTGATTTCTAGTTCGGGCCATGCTTTATTTAGCTATATTTGTGAAATCTGTATTTTGGATGGCGGCAAACGAGTTGTTATTTTCACCGTTCTTTGTTCAGGCAGCGGCCATTTTGAAGCGTCCATTTTCTTTCTTTTAACCGAGCACATGTTTTAACTGAATCTATTGAACAAATTAACAACATTGTGGGTCATGGGGGGACGTGCCTTTATTCTTTGGATTTAGCACATCGTTTATACAACGCCACAGGATTCATCGTATTTTTGCATCGCATATTTTCGACGCCTATTATTTGGAATGACGAATTCGTCCAACGCCATTTTGCAACTGCAGATTGTCTGCCATGTTTGTTTATGTGTTTTGTTTGGGGGAAATGTATGTGTAATAATGGCCCACAATGCAGCTAAATAATTTCACGTTTGAATTTTAACCAATAACTTGACTGGACACGAATTAATATTAATCACATGTAAATCTGTTAACTTTACAATCTTTCACCTCATGCAATTTGTCTTTGTCTCACAATTTTAGCTTCAGTAATTTTCTTTGCTGTATAATTTGAAGTGAACGTAAATTTCCATGCTCTGCAGTTTTGACCTAACATGATATTTAATTTGTACAAGCTTATTTCACACCAGATCTTGTTTTTAATAAATCTTTGCTAAGTTTTGCTCATGTAAATATTTTGTTGATGAATGTCTCTGTACTGCAAATTATCTGATGTCCAAATTTAATCCCAATTAAGAATTATTTGTTGACTGAATTTCCGTAAGAGTGTGTGGCGAATTTAAATGTTGTTTATTGCTCTTTGTTGAAACTTTAACACTTGTTCGGTTGTCATTTAATATTAGAGTCATAGAGATTGAACATTTAAATGAAATTAAAGGTAAATGACACATAACTCGTAGTGTACGTGGGGCGCGCGACTTCTTCTCAAACTGACGGGATTAATCGCGTCACCTGCACAAGTCCGCGGGTGTTGTATAGCTTCAGGGGGCGATCGCGGGTTTTTAACGCTGCCGGTTTCGTGATAGCCGGGACCCCACTACGGATCTGCGATCGTAACCGCCTCGTTTCGCAGGGCACGTTCGTAATGGAGAGATGCGTGTGAGCAGGCGTTGGTGTAGATAGAATCACCGTCGTGGGGGAGAACAGTGACGATCAGGAGTCCCAACCTCTACTTGTGCTACAACGCCCCCTCTGGGTATTTTGCTGTGCTCGTAAATGAAATTGATATATTTTGTTTTATGTTTTGTTCGATCGCCACACTCTCATAATGATTCGGGTTCTGCCATCCAATTTACATATGTGTAGGTCTTGTGTTTGTTCGGTTTTCATATGTGTATGTCTGTCAATTCGCGAGTGTTTTTCTTTCACATATCTTAAGGTGTCTGACATGTAATATGTCGGTGAATAAAACCCCAGGGGGTTTTGGGGAATGAAGACCGATAACACCTTGGCCCTGCGGACTCGCCAGAAGGGCAAATCGAGCGTCTGTCGTTCTTCGTTTCTTTTTCCTCCTTAGGAAGGCTCCTAATTTTGTCTATTATTTCTTGCGCTCTCGACAGTGTATGCACTTGTATGAAAGAACTTCTTCCCGCCATTTTTCAAAACAAAAAAAAAACACACAACGTAGGTTCTCATTTGTTAGACGATCACAGCCAAGGCCAAACTTTGAATTTTTGAATTTTTCGCGGGCCTTTCAAACTGTTTCAAGGTCAAATTTTAAGGCGGGAAGTTTGGGTTATCACAATGCATAATTTGAATTGTAGGAATGGCAGTATTTTTAAGTTTTTGATTGGGGCCAAAATCCGTTTCTTTAAAATGTACATCGCAAAGAAAATATCCATTTTTATATATTTTCGTGGGATCTAATTTGCTTAAATTTGGATTCCCTGTCCGTTCCAACCAAATTTTAAAACGCTCTTTGTATTTGTAGGGGTTGGGAAAACGATGGCGTTTAATAATTTTAGTGTTTAGACATTTCAAAACACTGCATAGTTTCATATTTTACGCTTTGTTATCACGTATAATCACACAAATGACACTTTTATACTAATCATAAATGACATTAGTTTTTTTATTGTTTCTTAAAATTGGCTGTGGAAGTTGTCGCCAAGTAATTTTTGGAAAAAAATACTTCACTGCTATCAGTGCTCTCTCTTATTATGTGGCCGGTACATAAGCCTAGACACAAACCTGGGACACGCATTACAGCCGAGTTTGCATTCTATTTTACGTAGTATTATTTATCTATGACTGGGTTTCTAATATTTAAACGATTAAATTATTATTGTCAGTCAAATGCCACCGAAAAAATCTAACCTCAACAACGCGAGCAGCAAAGGGTCACGACGCAAACGTGTTGAAAGAGCTCAGCAATTACCAGAACAAATCGAAACAAGAAATGCAGCTGAAAGAATCAGGACTGCAGAAAGTCGTGCACAAGAATCTCAAGAACAGCGTGACGAACGTCGGCAACAGAATATTACGAGAACAAGAGCGGCACGAGAACGAAACATAGCTACAGTACGAGTACTAGATCGACAAAGGCAACGGATCAGCCGCTCATTAACACGTGCATCATTCGTTCGGCTTGCCTTTGAATATTCACCAGATATTAACTACTGAGCGCATTCAAAAATTGCTATCGGTGGAATGGATAAAGTATGTCAATATTGTCAGCCATTGAAATTTCGGAATGAAGCAGCCGGCATGTGCTGCGCATCAGGAAAAGTTGTGCTGTCACCTCTACCCGCTCCGCCGGAGCCTTTATTATCCCTTCTTACTGGCAATTCAGATGATTCCAAATTATTTTTGCGTAAGATACGCAAATTTAATTCTTGCTTCCAAATGACGTCATTTGGGGCAACTAAAATTTGCGATCGTGCATCCGATGGACGTAATTTTGAAACTACATTCAAAATTCAAGGCCAGGTGTACCATAAAATCGGATCACTGATGCCAATGCCTGATAACAATCCGAAATTTCTTCAAATTTATTTTATGGGCGATTGTGAAGAGCGCGTGACGACTCGGTGCCTGTATAATTTTATTGAACAAGCAGAGGAAAGAGCAATTGTGATATTATTGGAAAATTTTTTAGAAGATCACAATCAACTAATTCAATTGATCAAAAGAGTTTCGCCACGACTGCAAAATGACAATTATCAAATCGTCATAAAAGCCGACAAAGTACCATTAGGTGAACATGCTGGTAGATTCAACGCTCCAACTGTTGATGAGGTTGCTGTTATCATGGTTGGTGATCCAGTTGACAAAAGATCTATAAAAATTACACGGCGAGACAACACTGTCAGTACGATTTCGGATCTACGTACACCGTTCATATGACGCACTACAATATCCATTGATATTTTGGCAAGGACAAGATGAATATCACCTTAATTTAAACAGTATGATCCAAATACCGGTAAATTTGACAATTATCTATTTACTTTCTTACTAAAGGGTTATAGTAGTAGAAAGTCAAATAAGGAGATCACCATATTTTTTTACAAATACCATCTGTGTGAAAAAGCATAGTGGACTCCGTGACTGATGTTCTCTTATTGTTCCTCTTAGATTGTTTACTATAATGTAATATAACAAAAACTTTAGCCACAGCAACGCGTGGCCGGGTCAGCTAGTTCATTATAAAGTTTACACGGTGTCATAATACAAGAATATGGTTATTACAAATTTTCATTTGATATGAAAAAGTATTTATTAATTATTATGGTGTTGCTCTTTTCTATAACAATAGTATTCAAGAATTTTCACATACCATTATTTTCCTTACTACCTTACCCATATTTCAACAGAGTAATAAAAATAATTACCTCTATACTTTTACAATACAGAAGAAGTAAAAAAATCGAAATTAATTTATTGAATCCTTGAATCGAATATCGAGAGATCAGATTCTGGAGCGTTTGAGATATACGTTGAGGCCAGGGCGTCCTGCCCCGCTTGAAGCAAGAAAACACCGATATGCAAAGACGCGCGTTTCGAATTCTTTACTCTCAATTACGTACATAGAAAACCGAACGTATGTCGTTGCTTACAATCAAGAGGGTGGACCAGGGTGGACTAGCCCATCCTCACATGAACCGTATAACGTCGAGATCTGACGCACTTTTTTACAACTGCAATTTCTCAGTTGCGGAAACTGCGGGATGTAATGAAGAAAATCCGTTGGCTTAAATGATGTTTATGACGATAACTATTTGTGTATACATATAAAATATTTTAAAAAAGAAAAAAATCAATATTTTACTTCGTATCGTAAACAATCAAATAGGGTGGGCATTGCCCACCCTGCCCACCCCGAGGAGCCGCCACTGCCAGCGTTTGTATTTCCATGGTATACTTAGCAAATTTTCTCGGGTGTCCCAACATTTAAATGTCTGCAAAAATGGCACATTTTTTATTTAGGTGACAATTTTTCCGCTCTAAGAAAATTTATTAATTTGCAAAATACCTCATTCTCTACCAAAATAGATGCCCATGCAAAATTTGCATTTAGTCCAAATGAATTGAATGATATCAAAAATATGTACCGGATTTTTTTGAGAAACTGTCTTTATCCCAATATATAGTTGTTAGGGCTCGTATAAATTATACGTCGAGGACTCGTGAGAACTAAAGACCTAGCGACTTCATCCGAAACAATTAAGTAGGTTGAAGACAGATTGGGGAGTCGGCGCTAATCATGGGCCAGGCAGAAGTCGAAATCTGTATTGGTCAGCTGAGAATAAGACATCGGGTTCTCGTGGCTAGCATCAAAGATGACTTCATTCTGGGAATGGATTTGATTACCCGCCATGGGTTGACGATCGATCCAGTGGAGAAAGTCCTACGTCTCGGCAATAAAGAGTTCATCCTGAATCAGCGTTGCACTGGATCTAAAGCTATAAGAGTATCACGTGCCAGAATGTGAAAGTCAGAGGGAATGCAGAATCGATTCGTAGAGAAAAACAAAACAATATTTTTGAGTATTTGGGTTAAAAGTAATTGTATAGTAGCCTGCATAGATATTGTAGCCGTCCATAGAGTCGAAATTTGCGAATAAAAATAAAATAAAACCGGCTCAAAAGGAGCCGACGACGGCTTGTAAGTTCTGTCACTACGGCACGCGTCACATTACACAGGGGTGTATTTAAGACTGTTTGCACAAAATCTTAGGGTTACTGTATTCTTACTATTTTCTATCTACAACAAACGATTTGTCAGACAGCTACGAAACCGATGATCTAGAGAAAGATGGAAGTTTGAAAATTTATTTCAACAAGTGTAATAACCGTTTGGTGCAACACAATTGGTTCAAGCAAACTAAAATATGACAGGAAACAAACAGTCCACGTGGACTAGTTTATAGGCGTGTTTGCTGCTAAGATGACTAGGTTTTTCGCTCCACCTGCCTCCGCAACGATGAATATACCATACCACAGCTTGTGTACTGTGAACAGAGCTTCGATTTTATTGACGAGATTCAGCTCAGAAATTAAACAGATTATATCATAACAGAAAACATGACATTTAATATTTAATACGTCTCTGTGCAACGTGTGCCAGAGTGATGTCAGACTTTGCAAGCCACTGTCGGCTCCGTTTGAACCGGTTTTATTTTATTTTTATTCGCAAATTTCGACTCTATGGACGGCTACAATATCTATGCAGGCTACTATAAAAGTGACTAAATTACTCAACAAAAGTAATTCGTTACAATTATTCACTACATTTTTTGAAAAGTAATGCATCACAATCAGGGATGTTGCGAATATTCGCATCCGCAAATGCGGAGCTTCCGCATTGATTTGGACATCCGCATCCGCAATAATCAATACGGAACTCCCGCGGATGCGGATGTAAATGCTAAATGTTTTGCAAGTCGCGACAAGAAAGAAATTAGTTGGAGCCGACGAGTGACGCATAGCGTGCACTCGTGATGCATTGACCAATACGCGAACTAAATGACCGTTGGGGGCGCCACTGTTAACTGCAACATGGCCGCTCTAAGGCATATTTGACGTATCCTTTATGGCAAGTCTTAAGTGTCCATCGTGTGAAAAAAGTGTGTTGTGTTAATAAATCGAGCGTTTTTGTAGTGGATTTGTTCAGTTTACAGCCTGTTTCGTTGTTTGTGTCAGTTTTTTTTGTAGTTCTCATTTTATTAACCCTTTGTTTAACTTTTTAAGTGAACACATGCTAAATCATGTGGTGTTAAAACTTCTGTGAAAACTTTATTAATTATAGCGATTATTATTTTTTAAATTAAGTGTTCATTTCATACTATGTATGAGTGGAATAATGCATAATAATAAAATAATAAAGCATGAATAATATTACAGGTTATTGCTGTCACCGTTTTAAACAAAACTGCTAAAACAGCATAAGAAAATGTATTTTTCAGTTTCATAAAAGTTAACAGAACACGTTCTTTCAAGTTTAATTTATGTTTATTACAGAATTTTCCAAACATCTCACAATTTGCAACAATAGCATTAAATAACAGAAAGGATGGTATTCCAGCCATTGTATTTAAATCATTATCAGATTTAAGTGTACTTATAAAAGGTGCCACTAAATCTCCACTTGTCACTTGAATATTTTTATCCTTTTTTTGTGAATTTTGTAAATGTAACAAAGCCTGCACGGTTTCCATTTCTAATGCTAGAAAATAATCTGTATTTTTTAAATATCATCAAATGTATACATACATGAAACAGTTTTTTGATGTAACTGACTGCTGTCGAAGCAATTTACATCAGTACTATCTGTACTTGAAATTATGTAACCTTCAGATTTTCTCATTGTTGTACTTCTGACTGCTTTAAAGTCTCGATTTTTGGGCCTTCTAGGTAGTAATTCTTTAGTAATGATACTTACATCTACAATATTTCATTTATTGTCTATTATACATTAACAACATTTACCCAAATCTGTACTTACCAGGTAATATTTTTATTTTTATTTATTTTATCCTATGATGTCTCTAACAAGCTGGAGGCCCAATTACAGGAAACATGACATACACAACACCCAAAAGGCAAGGCGGGAATCGAACCCACGACCCAAGGTGTAGTGGGCAAGCACGAAGCTAACTAACCCACCTGGGTCCTCAAATCAAATCCTCAATATGAAATCATCCTGATTACAATGTAGTGAACACACTCTCATGTGCTTTGTTGCTGGTTTTCCCATATTTAGCTTTACCATCCAAGTCTTATATCTGTCCATTTTTTTCCCTGATTCCTAACCTAAAAATATAATATATATATATACATATTATACTGATAATCAAAAACAATTTAGTTAAATACTGATTAAACTAAATTTACTGTTGATATGAATACTTACCTGTTCATAACATTTAAACAAATGACTTGTTTTTTATGGGGGATTTATGAAAAGAGAGCCCACTGTTTCTATTGTTTTTGCTATGGCAGCGAAAAACACAACAATTTGTATTGTTAACAGTCATTTTTTCAGGAATACTGGGACCAACTTATTTAATTTTGTTGGTTTAACATAAAACAACGAAATTTCACTGTACAACCAACAGTATTTACATCTTTCACTATGCTCTTGAGTAGTGCACATTTTTGACACCAGGTGTCGTATCAGATCATTTAGATCGCGTATAGGAAGACAAGAATTCTACTTTCGGTGTTCCGTTTCGCACATCAGAACGTGTTTAGTCGGGGTTGCGCGAATTGTGAACGTTTTGTTTTTTTGTATATTATTGGACAAGTGAATCTACAATGGCACCACCGATGCAAAGTGCAATTTGGACTTATTTTAAACCAGATGATGATCGAAATAAATCTCAGTGTATAATATGTAATAAAACATATTCTCGCAAGGGTCGTACCACTTCGTCTTTGAAAAATCATCTGAAATCCATGCAACCAGAACAGTTTAGTTTGTTCGAAAGTTCGACTAACGAAAAACAAATGCAGAAGATGAAAGCTGATGCACGTAAGTTTTGCTATCAACAGTGTTTATTTATTAGCCTTAATAAAGCATTTTGCTTTTATTAATTACTTAAAAGTATATTATTCTTAATAGATTATCAGATAAGCTGCTTTAAGGAATTAATTAAAATTAACAGAAATGTTAACAGCAGATAAGCTCAAAGTTGGTTTATTTTGTATTTAATACAAAAAAGTCGGTGCAATAAAAGTTTCGTTATTTAAAATCTATGTTGCATCCGTTTATTTTTGTTAATTCCCATAACAAGTTATAATTTATGTGTGTATTTATTTTTAGATAAAATCCTCACTCCACTACAAGAAGCAAAGAAACAACTTTCGATAGAGGAAGCAGTTCAAAAAGAAAAAAAGTGGGATACTAAGAATTCAAATTCGAAAAAAAATGACAAACTCATCGGAGAAATGATTGCACTTCAAAATTTATCGTTTAATTTTGTAGAGGGACTCGGTTTTTGCAGACTGATACAAGAATTATCACCAAGGTATAATTTAAGAGGGCGCAGTTTTTTTACTCACTTTGTGTGCACGGAACTGTAATGCAAAGTTGCTAACAAAGTGAAAGAATTAATTGAAAAATTTGATTACATGGCGTTTACTTCTGATATTTGGTCGGATCCAAGCTCTAATGCATCTTTGCTTAGCCTGACTTGTCATAGAATCGCAGAAAACTTTGATCGATCATTGATTATATTGAAATGCGAAACCTTCGACGACCGTGACTTACGCGACATAATTGCAGAAAAATTTGACACCATGCTTACTGAATGGAATATTTCAAAAAAACAAGTGCACTGCATTATTCGTGACGCTCCAATATAAAAAGAGCTATGCGATTAGCAGTATTGAATGATTTGGATTGTGCAGTTCACAAGATGCAACTCGCTATTCGAAGTGGTTTACAATCGCAGGAAAACATAACCGTCAAACAAAAATGTAAGAAAACTTCGACTCACTTTAACCATTGCTCAAAAACAACTGCAAAAAATCGAGGACAGACTGAATCAACCGCATCTCAGAGTGTTTCAAGATTGTGTAACGCGATGGAACAGTACGTTTTACATGTTTGAGCGTTTTTTAAAGGTAAAAGATGCATTGAGTCTTTATATCAATGACAGTGAAATTGACCCTATTTTGCCAGAAGAGTGGAAAATTATTGAATGTTGTGTTGAGCTATTGAAACCTTTTGAAGAAGCCACACGGGAACTAAGTAACTCTCATACACTTATATCATCTGTGATTCCAATAATTAAAATGCTTGGAAAAAAACTTGATGATCATTTAACAAGACCACAGGATTCTGATCCAATTCGGGTGGCTGTCACGACTCTGAAAACTGAAGTTTCAGCAAAATTTTCTTTGTTGGAAGAGAACAATTGATATGTCATAGCCACGTACTTAGACCGGCGCTATAAGCACAAGTTTTTTACACCAGTGACCGAGGAAAATATTAAGGACGATATTTTGAAGATTAGGACAAACATAGAGAACGACGTCTCAAACTCTCAAATATCTCCAAATTTCAAAGCAGCGAAAAAAATGAAAATGGGAGATTCCCTCGTGAAAGATACGGAACAACCTGGAACATCCGGTACAGCCAGAAAGCCATGCTTGAAAAGCGATCTTGCCATGATGCTAGATTCGTCAAGTGAAGATGAGAGTCAAGAAATATCAGAAAATGGTTCCCCTGATGCTGTCCTCAAGAAGGAATTGCTTTCGTATCGAAATAAAGCAAGGTTGAATATAAATGAAAATCCACTTAAATGGTGGAGCGTTAATCGTTCCGAATTAAAAATTTTATATGGAATAGCACGCAGATTTTTATCGCCTCCACCAGCTAGTGTTCCCAGTGAAGAGTTATTTAGTAGTGCAGGATTAATTTATGAACCTCTGAGAAATAGACTCGAACCTGAAAAGGCCGCAATATTACTTTTTATTAAATATAATTCAACAATTTTTAAAATTTCGTACTAAAAATTTGTTTATTAAATAAAAACATTAAAAACCCCCATTTTTTTAACTGATTTCTGTACATATACCAAGTTTCTTAAAAAAAAACTTGAGATCCGCATCCGCATCCGCGGATGTGAGCCCCCAAAAATCCGCATCCGCGGATGTTGAAAAATCTGCATCCGCAACATCCCTGATTACAATTACTCATCACTTGAAGAGGAATCGAATTACAGTAATGAATTACTACCAACCATTGATTATAACTATTTATCAAACTTACAGAACCCGATTTCCACTCTCTAATTATGCATTCTTCAGTAAAATGAATGTCGTTCACATATCACTTCGCGGGTACTTAAAATTTGATCAGCTCGATATATTTTTCCCATAAAGCGAACAACTTAGGATTTTTCGGCACATTAAATATTGTATATTTCACGTTTTCACTGGAATATTCGCTGCGACAATTTGGTACAAAACATTTACCGTTTTGTTTGCTTGCCATAACCACACTTCGTTAAATCATCGATTTTTGAGTTGACAAGTAGATATTTCTAATAAATTAAATACTTCAAACAAAGTTTACTAGTTAGGCAACCTACCTTTGCTATTTACATTTTATTATGGAACTTTTAATTTCACAAACGGTTCAGCAAATATTAAACACGATGTTAAAACAAAACATGGGTCACTATGGCCCCCAGCGCCATGGAAATAAGACGGAACCTTGAGAATTAACAGTGCACTCTCCTACACCTCCTACTCCATGGACTTTACTAATATTGCTTCGCATGACGCACCATTCATCATTTTTTTCTACCTTGTGAAGTTATGACAGTCGATTGCTTGCACAAAAATATTTCAGCGGCTGAAATTAAACTTTTATCGATTCGCCCTTTTTGTTCCGATTTTCACAGCAAAAGGGGTAATTTCATTTTTTTTTTTTTGAGAAAAATCTAAATATGGATGAAACACGTAAATAGTATATAATAAGATCGCTCGTCCATGCAATAATTGTCCTAGTCGAACTGACTTCTCGCTTCGGGGTCGTTCTCTGTGACTTCCCAACTCGTAAGACAGTGTACTTACATCTAGAAAACAACACGGCCACAGAACATTGATAAAACATGAAAAATAGGATTTAACTGAACAATGACCAGATGTCTTTGATTAAATAAGTGGCTGGAAGCAGTACGAAGTTAATGGTTCCTGACGAAAGTAAAATAACTTTGTATACAAAATCATATAATTATTTTTTTTATCTACTAATATATATCTACATATATATTAGTTTACTCTACATTTAAGTCTCTTTTTAATAATAAAAAAAATGGCCCATAGGACACAGTTTTGTAGTATTTCTACGACATTAATCAATACTAAAAGTTATGGTACAAAATTGTTTCACACAAATCTCTAGTCTACGTTAAAACTATAAAGAAATGTGTAATACTTACAGCAGACATTGCAATAAAAATTGTACTTTCAAAATTATGTACAGTTGGTTGTCCAAAATTAAATACATTTGATTGAGCACAATGCTCATAAAATTACTTAAAATTCCTTAAAATATCTAAACCTTAACTTCTCATTATAAATCTAAGTTAACATTAATGAATATAAACATACAAGATAAAGCTGTTCCATCTCCACTCAACGATCAAATAACCTTCAACTATTACTTGGCTACAGAAATTAAGGTTAAACAGAATGTACAACAGTTATTTATATATCAAGGGTGCTTATGTACGACCGATTAATAAAAAGGATATTACAACCTTCACTGGTGCGCGCAAACGAGATCTTTTTGGCCCTTGGGCGACAATAAGAGTGACTAATTGTCCGCTGACGTAATTTATATTTACAAAATTTTATGTAAGTAGAACCACGATTTCTTTTATAAAAAAAAAACCTCCAAATCAAATTAACAGCTATAAAAAAAAAATGTTTTGCAAAAAGTTCACGCGTTTTAAGTCACGTTTTGAGCTTTGCTTTTAAAAGTGTGGAAGTGAAAAAATGACAATTATAAAATTACTGTGAATCTTTTACCGCCGCAAGCGAGAGCAATATATGAAAAGACTTGCAATGAGTTTGTAAAGTGTATAAATAAATACATATAATAAAATAGATGAAACTGTTCCTGTCAGTAAATAAATTAAATTTCTTTTTTGATTTCTTACACTTCCCGAGCGTAAGCTAAGGAAATCTAGTACTTTTTCTTTGTAAATGTCAGCCGGCTATAATGACTCTTATTATCCAGGGACAAAAGTTTCCCGTTTGCGTTCGCCAGTGAGGGCTATCCCTTTTACACAAATATTTAGGTGTCACATAATTATAGTATCCGCGGGGGAATGAAGATGATTTTTTATTTTTTTTATAGGATTAGTATTTTTTATTGAAAAAAAAAAAAAAATGTTTGCGAAGGAGAATTACATCCACATTAAATAAATTCTGAAGTTGTGAAAGTTTTTGTTTTGGAATAGTTTTATTCTCGTTATTTTACCAAATAAAATAAAATAAAATAAAATAAAATAGAGTTTCCTGTTTAGTTTCGTTTAACGAACAACTTCAGGGAACACTGGAATATTAGGAAATTGAAATTTAGGATTAACGAACACATAAAGTATAAACGGGGAGTTCAGGTACGGGAAGACACCCTCTACTATATTACTATAAATTTGTGAGTAAGAAGGTGGATTTGTTACATGAAGGAAAAGATGGATCCATGTTAACCACACTAGGAAACATTGAAATAATTAAACTCTTTAAGAAGCAGAACGTGAGTAATTTAAAAAACAAGATCGATAATTCCATACTATTTGACTTACTTGTTTAAGTGGATTTTTGTTTTTTAAAGCGTGATTAGCTTCTTAATTTTTTAATACGACGCCACCTTATGTTTTATATAACAATTTTGTTACGTGGTTTTTGCTCAGATTAGTGTTATCATTTTATTTTATTTATTTAGTGATTATTATATATTATATGCCAACTCTTAATTATTCCAAGCTGCTTTAATGTTTAATTTAGCTTTTCTTCGTTTGTGTTTATATTTAGTGTATTATTTGACGTAATTTCATTTAGATTAATATGTATTTAGATTTTCATTCCAAATTAGATTTAGTAAATTTAGATTTAAAAGTGTAATCTAACCGTACACCCCTTCATTTTTTCTCTCCATTTTAGTTTGTCAACGTCTATCCAAATGTTATTTTAATGTAAGTAATGAATTAATTTTAAGATAAAGCGTATTTAATGTGTAATTTGTAGTGTCCCCTGAAGATGTTCATTCAACGAAACTAGTTGGGAAACTTTATTTTATTGTATTTGGTAAAATCATGGAGGATAAAACGGTCCCAAAAGAAAAACTTTCACAACGTGAAGATTTTGTCCATAAAAACTTCGCACATAATTCAACTCTGATGCGTAAGTGTTGTTATTGGATGTCTGAAACAAAATATCTACACGACGTATGGTCGCCGCCATAGAAAACTGCACCACTTTGACATAACAAAATTTTAGTTTTTAATTTAACAGCAATTTGAGTGTACGCACCTGATTTTAAGAATGGGACTGTGACTTTGTCAAAGTTATTTGATTTCTCAAGCAAAAAATTAAACCGTAATTTTTTTTAAATTTGGAGGTGTGTGTCAAACCTAGTCGTCCAGTTTTCTATGACAGTGACTGTACATCAAGTAGTTCGATTAAAAGTAAAATTTCTTTTTTGTTTCAGCTAAAACCGAGATGTATAGTGTCCGAAATACTACAAGGTTATATGGCACCACTAAATTTAATAATGGTATGTTATTTTATTTTGATATTGTTTTCTTTTGTACGGTTGGTTACCGGCTCAATCCTAGCGTCATAAATCAAGGATTTGCCACCTCAATATCTGCTGCTAGGTAATCCGCTTAAACATTTTTGGTACATTAAATCAACACAAACACAATTTACAACAGTTAGTTTGCCTTATTAACTCATTAACTTATTAACTGTTTCATTGTCGTCTTCACAATACCTTAATTTTTCAACAGTAGTAGTATTGCAGTATTTCGGAGACTCTACATGTTTCCACATTTTTTTTTTTGTACATCCTGTCGTACAAATCCCGACGTAATTTGATTATGCAGTTGATATGTTAACGGAAATTTTAAGTTGGGAGTTAATGTTTAGATATTATGTGCCATTCTAATGAAGGTCTAAATACATTTCTATTTATGTTATAATTTCGTATTTTTTAAACATATTCCATTTATTTACATTGGTAAAAGCACACTGTCGTTCATTTAAAAAATACGTCAAAATTATTAGTGCATGATAAAAAAAACAGGGTGTATGCCAATAATTTGTACACTATTACAAATTAAATAATTGCACATGATTCTCTAATCATTAATTAAAAAAATCATTTCTTAAAAAAAGTGTAAATGTTTTTTACGAGAAAACAGAAGAAAGAAAAGAAAGTTCTAATAAATTAATACGAAGGTAAAAATAATTCTTTACCACTACTTCAAAATATAAATTGTAATCTAAAACCGGGATTATTATTGAAAGGTACTATGTGCCAAAATGTGAAAATTATCAGAACATGTGTTTATTTTTGAGGAGTTGACTGAGTTGTTTCTGAATTTTGTCCTTGTTGAGCATACTGCTGCGCATATTGTGCCCAATCTTGTTGAGAGTACTGACCATATTGATTTGCTCCTGTGGTAGTCCCAGCTGAATGTGTTTGGCTCTGCTGAAAGTAAAAAATAGAAAATGTATAAATAACTTTTAACACTTGAGATCATTAACTAATTTTTAATAAATTTGATTTAAATATAAAAAAATATTAAACAACGTTTAAAGTCATCGTATTGACTGTACTAAAAATGTAGAAAACGCATAAAATAAAGCAACTGCACCTGTCACTGAAAGTTTAGCTGATTTGATATTTAAAAAAGCAAAAATAGTATATTATTGCTATATTAGTGAGAAAGTTGGTTATATTCACGAGGATGAGGTTTCAGGGTGGAAATGACAATTCTCACTAGTTTAATACTATGCTCTTTCTGCTTTAAAAATATGAATAAAAAATCTACTTTTGTTTACTTAAATGATTAATTTTTTTATTGACAAAATTATTAATAGTTCCATGGTTTAGTCTTATAAGCGAAGGTGATTTTACAAAAAAAAATTAAATTCTTATTTGCGCTAGAACTGACAGAATTGTTGTCAACCGGAACACCAGCACTTGAAGAGTGCACTGGTCCCAGCCCCCGAGCTTGACTTCCAACCCCCATGTCTCTATAGTGCAATATCTGCGCCAGCGTCGACCAGTAAGGTTACATTTGATCTACGGAAGCTGTGGTCCCTGCATTTCTCTGCTTCTGGTAGCTCTAAAAATGTACCAATAAGTCGTCCCATTCTAGCAATAGACCACACACGTAAGGTTAGAAACGACCACTGCAAGCCAGTTCATAATTCAAAAATTCTACTAGGTTTCTTATGGGACTTTGATTTTACAGACAAAATATTCCGCATAGGTAGAAATCTTAAATAGTTTTTGCTGTAAGAGATAAAGGCTATGTTAAACAAATATAATACACATTGAAAACAAGGGGTACCCCGACAAAATAGCCCGGGACAAAACCACCCCGACAAAATAGCTCCATATCTAAAAATCTCGATAAGGGAGCAACCATATCACAAAAAATATTTATATGCACTATTCTTTTATTAAACATCATAGTTTAGAAAAAATCAAAAACCGCATTTTTGATTTTTTTTAAGTATGGTGTGGTATGCTTATATCTATGTATATTATTAAAGCTTCTGACATAGTTATGATTGCAGACAGGCAAAAGCATGTTCCAAACTATTACACATATCGAGTCCGAACTTGTACAGATTTATGTATTTTTTTTATTATTTCTATTTTCAATTAAGTAATTGTTATTTTAGCTAATTTGTAAGTAGAAGCATATTCGCATATTACATATACTACTGCATTGGTATCTGCTGCATATTTTATAAATTTGCTGCATATTTTATAAATAATTTCCACTACATATTTGTATTTTTTTATTGGTCAAAGATTGTTCATTTAGTACTTAGTCAGGTCAGGTAGTAATCTCAAGCAGGTAGGTAAAAGTGTGATTGAATAAATGGGAGCACAGTGGAATGTTCGTTCAGAGGTTTTACTCAAAGCCATTCATTCGTTTCTTGGACTGTGACATCAGTGCGTTCCGAGGGACCTAAACATTTTCGATATCAGTTTCAAACTGGTGTAGATTTTATTACTTTAAGGTTCAAGGTTACAGATAAGTTCCAGTAACTATTAAAAGAAGATACGTATATGGGGGAATATCGTGCCGACAATAAAATTTAATTTTACATACAATTTAACATGTTAAAATTTAATATAATACATACTAATAATCTTTATATATAAAAGGCAATGTCCCGACTGACCTATCAACGCCCAACCCAAACGGCTAATGCTAGAAATTTGGAGAGAATGTTCATTTTAACTGGAGGTATCGTTTAAGAAGGGATTTCTCGAAATTCATCCCCTAAGGGGGTTAAAAAGGGGTGATAAAATTTGTTTAGGACCAATATATCTACTGTAAATTTAGATCGTCACGTGAAACCTGGTACATTATTTTAATTCTCTTCAATACAAATAAGGAAATACGTATTTAAGCATTTTCGGAGATTCGACTCCTAAGGGGGTGAAAAGTGGTGTCTAAGTTTGGGTGCCTAAGTTTGTATAGGAACAATATTTCTACTGTAAATTGAAATTTTTACGTCAAACTTGGTATTAATGTTCTTCAACACAAATAATAAAACGCGTCTTTAAGCATTTTCTAAAATTCAACCCCTAAGGGGGTGAAATATGGTGGCTAGGTTTGTGCGGGAATATTTCTATTGCAAATTTAAATTTTTACGTGAAACTTGGCATTAATTGTCTCCAACACAAATAATGAAACACGTATTTAAGCATTTTCCGAGATTCAACCCCTAAGGGGGTGAAAAGTACTGGCTAACTTTGTGCGGGAAAAATATTTCCATTGTAAAATTAAATATTCACGTGAAACTTGGTATTGGTGCTTTTAAACAAAAATAATGAAACACGTATTTAAGCATTTTCCGAGATTCAACCCCTAAGGGGTGAAAAGTGGTGGCTAATTTTGTATGCGAAAAATATTTCTATTGTAAATTTTGAGGTGATGTTTATTTAAAACTTGGTATTAATGCTCTTCAACACAAATAACGAAACACGTATTTAAGTATTTTCGGAGATTCAACCCCAAAGGGGCTGAAAAGTGGTGTCTAAGTTTGTATAGGAACAATATTTCTACTATAAATTGAAATTTTTACGTGAAACTTGGTATTAATGTTCTTCAACACAAATAATGAAACCGGTGTTTAAGCATTTTCTAAGATTCAACCACTAAACGAGGGTGAAATGTGGAGGCTAAGTTTGTATGGGAAAATATTTCTATTGTATATTTACATTTTTACGTGAAACTTGGTAATAATGCTCTTCAACACAAGTAACTAAACACGTAATTGAACATTTCCCGAGATTCAACCCCTAAGAGGGTGAAAAGTGGTGGCTAACTTCATATCGGAAAATTATTTCTATTGTAAATTTTTGACATGGAATTTAGTTTTAATGCATAGTGGAATACGTAATTAAGCATTTTCCGAGATTCAATCCCTAAGGTGGTGAAAAGTACTGGTTAAGTTTATATAGGAAAAGTATTTCTATTGTAAATTTAAATTTTTGCGTGAAACTTGATATTAAATTAATGCTCTTCAACACAAATAATGAAACACGTATTTAAACATTTTCTGAGATTCAACCTCTAAGGGGGTGACAAGTGGTGGCGAAGTTTGTATGGGAAAAATATTTCTACTGTAAATTTAAATTTTTACGGGGAACTTGGTATTAATGCTGTTCAACACAAATAATGAAACACGTATTTCAGATTGTTTCGAGATTTCACCCCTAAGAAGATGAAAGGGGGTGACAAAGTTTTTATGAGCAAATATTTTTTATGTCGATTTTTACTGGAAATTGTATTAATGTCCTTCAACACATTTTTTACTTGAAGGTTGATAATAATGCTCTTCAACACAACGAATCGTCTACGCGAGCGAAGCCGCGGGTGAAAAGCTAGTTTAACATAAAAGAATATATTAAATGAAAAATATTCCTTAAAAGGTTCATGTTTTTTTATTTAGAAGAACTTATACGAACAAAATACCAAAACGACAAAGTGCACATGAACACTAACAAAAAAAAAAAACTCTTTGCCATGTATATATGTAGTAAGATCACGGAGGTAGAAGAGACCGGAGGGAGCGTACCGTATGCTAGCAATGTAACGATTCTGGAATCGTTCAAAACCCGGTCAGACAGCGGTTATGATCTTATTTGAACAAGGGGCCAATATTTGCCAGCCCAACGGGCTGTCTGCATAAACGCAGTCCTACACTCAACAGCTGACAGGGTTTGGATTTCCAGTGGCGTACTATCACGTAACACGTGTTGTTTATATGCAGTTGTTCGTTCTTGAGCACAGATTACATACCCTTACAAGATGCGCAAGTCTCCGTTTCCCGCCAAGACGAAATTTACGGCGGATGACACTAGTCGCCATTAAATAGATGGTATTTTCGTTAACCTCAATTATTATTGTAAATGTTCTGTGAATAGTGTACAGTGTTCAGCAAGCAATCTTTTAACTTGCTACAGGGTTATTCAGCTATGATGACCCACTTATGTTTTTAAAATAGGCAACCCAAAATACCGATTCCACCTGAACCTGTCTCCCATCCCGGACTTTTATTAGACAGATAATCTCCGAAAGTACTGGGTCGATTTTTATCAAATTTTGTATTTATGTAAGAAATATCACGTAGATGGTAAAACGTTTACCAAAATTTTTCTAATCATCCCCACCAATAATATGATTACGTCACTTCAAAATTGTACATAGTAAATGGGTTTTAAATTGTATAAAATAACATATTCCTGCACATGTAGTTTAAGACTCAGTGTTTAGTTTTTAACCGAAACGTCAAGAATTTTGAAAACAAAAAAATCAAAAGTATAAAACAACATTTTGCAATTTAATTTTAAATGTGCACAACCGGATACTGAAATTTGGCAGATGTTTTCAAGTTATGATAAGCATGATATATTTTTAATCAAAATATATTTGCTTGTCCCTCTAAAAAATTGGTCAAAAAAGTTTAGACAGTACTTCCCTCGCTGTCGGAAAGGTGACGACTGCATGCTTATTACGTTTTTTTTCGCAGTAGGTTTCAAACCATTCGGTTTTGTAGTTCCTGAGTAAATCAATAAAATAAATTTACGCATTCATTAATTTTTTTGAGTCACCCTGTATATGCAAATCCAAAAAACATGAATGGAAAGATAAATTACAAGTACAGACTCATCATATTTTATACATTTTAGATAGGATTTATTCGGCAAACTTTTGAGCTGACGTTATCAGTTTTTTGGAGGGGATAGACAAATATATTTTGACTAACAATTTCTTATGCTCTTTATAACCTTAAAACATCTGCAAGATTTAAAAACATCCGGTTCTGTAGTTCCTGATTAAATCAAGAAAATACATTTACGCATTCATTAATTTTTTCGGGTCACCCTGCATATGCAAATCCAAAAAATATTAATGGACTGATAAATCACAAGAAGAGACTCTTCATATTTTCTACATTTTAGATAGGATTTATTCAGCAAAATTTTGGGGTGACGTCATACATTTTTTGGAGGGTATAAGCAAATATATTTTGGCTAAACATTTATTATGCTCTTTATAACACCTCAACCGCTTGGTGCGAGAAGCCGTCGATTAGGAGTTCGACGAAGAAGCCTCACGAAGTCGCAAGCGGCCACGCAGGGCGCTGCTTGATGATAGAATCGGCGTCTGATAATAATATGCCAGAAGAAAGATCTGCAATGATTTACGTTTCGAGCGGTACCCGAAGTAAGCCTAGTACTTATTGCTAGTTCACTCACTTGGGGGTTCCAATTTTGAGTGTACTGTCCATAATAATTCCAATTGGAATAATTGCTATAACCACCACCATATTTCCATTGGTTATGGTTGTTCTGACCACTCCATCCTCCTTGACTCCAAGAATTTTGTCCTCCCCAAGGTTGACTCCAGTTGCCTTGATTCTGACCCCAATTTGAAGGCCAGTTCCCAGCTGGACCTCGTCCAGGTTGATTGCGACTTCGACTATAGTTATTTCCTTGAATGTGCATGTCTCTGTTTCCGCGGTCTCTGGTATTTCCTGAAAAATCACATTTCAGATTTAACAACCATTGTCATAGAACTTTGAAGTGAATGAAACGTTTTGTGAGAGTTTTTAATTTGAATAACGGGTGCATATGTATTACACGGTGTGTATATAAATCAAAATATAAAAACTTTTAATAACAACACTTCTCTCAAATTCCTGATAAATCACTTGATCTGATTTATCAAGAATTTGCCAAAGTGTTGTGATTAAAAATTGTTGGATTTACTATAATCTGAATTACTAGTTGTCGAACTTGCAAGTATCATTTAGTACAATTCAATTAACGTGTATATACAGCGTATTATTGAAAGGTATGTACAAAATAAAATCGGCAATTGGTCTCGAAGTATGAGTGCTAAAAGTTAAAAAAAAGTTCAGGTAAAAGTGTCCTCCTTTTAGAGACAAAAATTATTAAAATTTATGTCCAAATTCGTTGTACGCCTCTGATAAAAAGATGATCTCTCGTTTCTATAGCAACATTTAGTTTAGACAAAAGTTTCATTGTTACTGTTGCTAAGATTTATTAAAATAAATTAATTTTACCTATTTATCCTTAAGTAGCGTCTGAAAAGGTTGGATAAGGATTAATTTTCCCCTTATAATTTTGATAACACAAAATAAGTTTTTTAGACTTCGCGAAGAACTGTCAATTTTGTTGTACGTACTTTTCAATAACACCCTGTATACATGTATATAATAAAATTTCGTCATTTGGGAAACCAGTCGAGGTAAAAATAGAGACTCCTTTTATAAAATTAGATTTCGCGATGTTTGATTTGCGACAACCTCTATAAAGTAAAAACTAGCGGCATAAATAACGCTTGTGCAGCCTCTGTGCTGTAGGAGTGCAAATTCCAAAGGCATGCCCAGGGGCATGTATAGGAATTGGTTAGAAAATATAATTTACATATTGTCAATACTTTAATATACAGTTTCCGACAAAAAATTTCAAACATTACTTTTCTGTCATGTCAAAAATTTTAATGTAGTCTATGCTTTATTGTCATTATTTCGAACAGCTGGAATGTCAAACTTTCAAAATACCTAAACATCTAAAGGTTGCTTTACACTATCTGACGACTGAATGACATTGACGTCTGAAATTTTTTGGCGGCAACTGTATATGTGAAAAAAAAAAAAAACAAAAAGTAGAAGGTTTAGGTGTAAAAAAAACTTGTAACATTTCGACATTTTACCAACTCCTGGTCAAGTTGAAACTTAGGTTATTATTTGCACTCAGACTTATTATTTAATCTCATACTTGGCCACTTATAAAAAGATGCAAGATAACGTATTTTGGCGTCTTTCCCCTGTGTGTACGTTCGATAACAATTATACAAACAATCTACACTTAAATGTGGAGTCTATTAAGTCTAAAATAGGTAAGCTCGAATTGTTTCTTTTAAAATGTGAAAAATGTTACGATTTTCTATGTTTAAGCGAACATTGGCTAAATTACATCGAACTTGAAATGCTTAGCATTTCACGTTATAAATATGCAGCTGGCTTCGGACGACAGGTCAAGAAACACAGGGGTGTCGCTATTCTGGCCAAAGATAGAGTTCCGCTCAAAAAAATGGATGTATCTAGATACAACAAAAAACTGGACTGTGAACTAGGGTGTGTGAGTACTTATTTTATTTTGACTCCTTTATTAGTATTTTAAATGAAGTCTTTAATTATCAAAAAATTCTGAATCGTGAGTAGTTATTGTCGGTGACTTTAACATTCATTTCCACAAAGGTACACCGCAAGCATTTGAGTTACTTGATTTCATTTGTTCATTTGGATTAAAGACCACCATCACTGAAAGCACACGTCTGAACAATTGTTTGGATAATATTTTAGCTAATTTGAATTCATCACACAGTACCAACCACGGGCCTATTCTGTTTTCTCGAACTGTTTCATTGTATTTATTTATATATTCACGTCTGGCACCATCCAATAAATTTTGCGATATTGTATTTACCGAACAATTTAAATTTTAGAGCCGAATGAATCTGTTTCTTAAAAATTTCGTGTTTGGCCAGTGCATGATGAACTTCTTTTAAATTATCATAACCACTAGAATTATAAGGGTTCTTGAATTCCGAAAATATAAACAATATCGGTAAAATAATTTGTTAGGTGTTTCGCTCTCAGTTAACCAAGGGTATTTACCGTAGTGTTTTAGAAAATACATGATTATGACCAGCCTTGTTTGAATCAAATTGCGCATTAACGGTCGAGGAGCAGTCAGTTGTTTCACAAAAACTTTGTCGTCATAAGTTAATTTTCTAAATTTATGTATCAATAAATAATTAACCAAGTCGCCATTCGTGTCAACTATATTGCGAACAGTGTTCATCGTGAATTTTTATACAAGGTGATTGCGAAATACATGCAAAAAAAAGGGGAACGGCTCACAATACAATTATGTTACTAAAAAATTCACGGTCCTAAGTGGTAGCGATGTATAGAAAAAATTATTTGAAATTAAATATAAATTGTTATACTGGTAATGTTTCGTGACCTACATAATTACTACAATGGATGGGATAGAGCGACTCAGATTAAGAACCAAAAGTGACTTTATCAGGCACTTTTTTAATCGCAACGTAAAAATCACGAAAAGGGCCAGTCAACATCGAGCACTCGGTGAAATTGGTGCAATGGCGTAACAATCAAACTGCGGGCCTATGTTCAGCAATACTGTGTATTATTATTAGGCCCCTAATGAATAGCGAATTGAAAATATTTAAAAATACGAGTATGATGAGTAAAGTATAAGTAGATTGCAATTAGCGCTTACGTTTTATTAACATCATTCTACCTGAAACACTGAATTAAAAAACAAAATACAATAACTACCTGAATACATGTAATTAAAATATATACATAATAAAAATGAAAATGTCCATTTTTTTTAAATCTCAAAATTGTTTTTTTTCTTGCTTTACAATGGGCACAAGTTGATACAAGATTTGACATATCTAAGCTTCTGGCAATTTGACTTTCAGTTGAGAGATTCAGTGAAGATAATCTGTCTTGGCCCATTGTGTTTCTAAAAAAATTTTTAGTCATTTTTAATTTCGAAAAATATCTTTACATTGAAGCCACCGAAAGTGGTATTGTAAGAAAAGTGAAACATGTTGTGATAATTTCAGTGAAACTAGTGCAGGTAGTAGGTACTCGTTCTGTAATAATTTCGCGGTGCAGTTTTTTTTTCTACTTAAAAAATTAGTGGTAACACACATCAGATATATTTTATTATTCCAAAAAAGTACCACACGTACAAAATTAAAATAGTTTTGAAATGCGAAAGTTTTCATAAAACACAACTGAAACTGAATTTTTTTTCACGTCTTATTACAGCATAAAATTTCACTGAAGATCTGAGGACAAAATTGAAGTATTTTGTTGTCCTACATCATAGCATGTTTGCGCAAAACATTTTCTTATACATTTGTTCTTATGTTTACACTTATCGTTATAAGTATGTCTTATAATTATAACACTCACAATCATTACATCTTATACTGACAACAATAGAATTTTTCTGCAATGTCAATCAGTCTCATTTAGAACTCTAATTATGTCGCAACTGAAAATGAAACTCCTTTTGTATTAACTGATACATTAAGTAGTTCTGAACATCTTCAAATTGCCACAAGTCGCCAAAATTTCTAAATTATTCATGTGCAAAATTAATCAATTTACGTGACAGAAAGTCAGTTCTGCTTGCCAATGTAAGGTCCTAAGCTGTCAGCATAACTGTTACAATTATATTTACAACTATAATTATAAATTATAAGTGTAAGCATAAGGAAAACTTTATAAGAAACTGTTTTGCGCAAACATGCTAATAAATCTATACTTATGTATATTATAAAGCTGAAGAGTTTGTTTGGTTGATCGCGCTAATCTCAGAAACTACTGGTTCGAATTAAAAAAATTCTTTTTGTGTTGGATAGTCCATTTATCGTATCGAGGAGTATAAAGAATCTGCATAAAAACCATGTAGAACGTAGCTGCAAAACAACTTCAGCAAAAATATCACGATGAGTTTCACAAGGAAATTGATCCATTTAAAAGTTTGATTTATCGTGAAGCTAGAGAAGCCAAAAACTGTAAAAGAAAGGAACTACAAGCTCTTCCGGAGAAACGAAGGCAGAGCTCAGCAGCACTGACAACTGAAGAGTATTTATCAGAAAATAATAATTTTGTGGGACGAAAATACACCAGAAGGTTTGCAGAAAAAATTTTCGTGATAGCTTCAGTGGAACTTGCGTGGAGAGGGAGTGAAGCAACAAACTGTTTTTTACATTTCTTTAGAAGGAACGCGGAAATGGTGGAACCTTGACAGGTCGTATTGAATACAACCCGGTTTTCACCAAAACCACTCAAGGAGGCTCTCAGAAATGCGCGGATAGTAAGTGGTTAATAAAAAACGTAGAAAATCCGGCAAACTGTCCCATTAGATTGTTCGAAAAACTAATTGGTAAAAGACATAATGGGATCAAGACAGATCGGCTCTTCCTCACCGTCAATCCGATATGGAATAAACCGAATAGTGTTGCATGATACAAAAATATTCCTGTTGGAAAAAATGAAATGGCCAAGTGGATGATACAATCAGCAAAAAGGGCAGGCTTGGATGTTGAAAACAGAAAAATTACCAACCATTCTAGCAGGACTACCGCAGTTTGCAGTTTGGCTAAAGCTGGGGTGAATGAGCAACAATTGATAAAAATTACTGGGCACGCTCATGCTAACTCTATTAAACCATATCTGCACACTGCAACCACATCAACTGGCACCTCAGAAGTGGAAGTCAATGAAGTTATGAAAGTTACGAAAAGCCAAGCGGCAACGATTTATAATAACTGTGTTTTCAATTGTACTAATCTTTATTTGCATGAATAAATTAAAGAAATCTATTGTGGCAAGTTTATGCAGTAAATAATCTTACCGAATTATAGCTCGTGCTTTGAAATTATCGGTAATTGCGACTCTCAAGCTGAGCAAGTGATCACGCGTGTCATTTTTGACCAATTTCCCTTCGCTTCGCGTCGGGAAATTTAAACGTCGAAGTGACACTCGTGATCACTTGATCTCAGCTTTCGGGTCGAAATTACCGATAATTTCAAAGCACTTGTGTGATTACTTATGAAAATTACAGGCCCATCGCAATTATATGTAACTTTGCTACGTCATTTGAATCTGTATTGGCCAAAAACTTGTATAGACATATGTCTAGTCAAATTAATATTAACCAACATGGTTTTGTACAGCGTCAATCGACCACTACGAATCTCTGCGGATTTGTTCAGTTTGTATCGAATGCTTTACAATCTCGAATGCAAACGTTCGTGGTTTACACAGACCTTTCTAAAGCATTCGATGTTGTTAACCATTCTATTTTGTTAAACAAATTAGTTCTGCTAGTGTATGTGATAATCTGGTTAAACTTTTTAAATCAGTATTAACTAATCGTATCTAGAATGTTGAGTTTTGTAGCTACTGTTCGGATGCATATGGTACTCTTAGTGGTGTAACATAGGGGACCAACCGCAGGACTCATGTTATTTTTAATATATTTCAATGATTATTATTATTAGAGCGCGGCACCCTCGGAGTGACGTGATACGTTACTTCTATGGGACGGCGAACATTCTAGTCGCCCATACAGAACGTGCATAGATGACGCCAACAGCACGCTGGTTATTTGGCTGGCGTACTGCACGGTCCTACTTGCTTATATTTTGGTGTTTTTCTTCGTTGCATGCAGAGGCGTGCTGTTTTTTAAACAGTTTAAAGCCTATCTGTGATGATTTGAGTACCATGTAAAAACATAATTGTAAAAGCAAATATTCACAATTGTTGTGTACGTGTGAAAGGGCCTTAACCGGGTTGGTGGAAGGTAGTTGAGATGCGCATGCGTAGGACGGGATCGGTAGAGATAGTTTTGTAATGGTGGATCGATGTGTAGAATCTTACTCGTAGTAATAAATGTGAATAGAAAGTAAACGAGATCTATGAGAACCCACACCCAGACATAATAAAAGTGGCGACGAGGATGTTGGGAAGTGTGGAGCCGTATATTCCAGGCGAGAGTTTCCCTGAGTGGAGTGAGAGGTTACAGCAGTTTTTTCTGCTGAATGACGTTACCGAACCAAAAAAAGTAGCGTCTCTTTTAACATTTATCGGACCAGAGACGTACTCAATATTGAAGAAATTGGTGTTCCCGGCAGATCCGGCAGAGAGGAAGTACGTGGAGTTGGTGGAGGTATTGAAGCAGCATTTCGCACCAGAAATAAATGAGATAGCGGAGAGGTACAAATTCCACAGAGAAGACCAAGTAGAAAATCAAACCATTAGTGAGTACGTAGTACAGCTGAAGGCGAGGGCCCAATCTTGCAAATTTAGTGAATTTTTAAATGAAGCTCTGCGGGATAGGCTAGTTTTTGGTGTGCGAAACAGTCAACTGAGAGCCATTTTGTTGAAAGAGCAGGGGTTGACCTTCGAAAAAGCGTGTTCGATCGCCGTGAACTGGGAAATGGCCGAAAATCAAACACAAAAGGAAACTGTCTTTAATCAATTTCGCATCAGAGAAGGTTCTTCAGGTAGACGTGGAACTGGATCGTGGGATCTGTGCGGAAGATGCGGACGTAGGCATGATAGTCAAAAGTGTCCAGCTTTAGAATGGAAATGTCGCAAGTGCGGAAAGTTGGGTCATATAGCTAGGTGTTGCCTGACTAGAAGTATAGGAAGAGAGCAATTGAGTAGTAGTAGCGCTTCCAGAAGAAGAAGAGATCCAGCATCTACGGTTATTCAAAGGATGTCAGACGACATGGAGTGTGAGAGAGGTCAAGAACGAGACATCGAACTGAATAGAGTGCAGAACGAGAAAGTTCAGCCGGTGAAAGTCAACATAGAAGTTGAAGGTATTTGGTTACAAATGGAAGTCGACTCAGGAGCATGTGCGTCGGTAATTAGTGAAGATACGTATCGAAAAAAATTTTTGTCGTGTCCGGTGGTAAAAACAAATGTTAATCTTGTGTCTGTTACAGGGGATAAGGTCTCCACTGTAGGAAAAATTCTTGTCAAGGTTAGAAAGCTAGGTCAGGGAAAAGAGTTTCCCTTAGAAATGTACATTATATGCAGTAGTAAACCGGTAGTTCCGTTGTTAGGGCGCACCTGGATGGATTGTCTGTACCCAGAGTGGAGAAATGCGTTAAATGTTGTCAGTAAGGAGGAGTCAGTAGGTAGTAATTTTAATTTAAATGATAGAAATAAAATTGTAAATGAAATCAGAGTCAAATACCCAAGAATTTTCGGCGAGAATTCAAATTCAGTCATTAAGCAGTTTAAAGCTGATATAGTTATGCAGGAGAATGCCAAACCAATATTTCATAAAGCATATACAGTGCCGTTCAAATTGAAAGAAAAAGTAAGTCAGGAATTAGATAGAATGCTAGAAGTGGGAATTATAAAACCTGTATCTTTTAGTAGGTGGGCGTCCCCGATTGTAATTGTCCCTAAGAGTAATAATACCCTGCGCATTTGTGTAGATTGTAAGGTCACTATTAACAAATATATTAGGACACAGCATTATCCATTGCCAAGGGTAGATGAGATATTTGTTGGTTTAGGGGGATGTAAAATATTTTGTGTATTAGATTTATCAGGGGCGTATCAGCAATTAGAATTATCACAGGAATCACAGGAATACTTGACAATTAACACCTGGAGGGGATTGTTCAGATATACTAGGCTAACATACGGTGTCGCGAGCGCGCCTTCTCAGTTCCAAAGCATAATGGATCAAATTTTGTCGGGATTGCCAAACGTAGTTTGCTATTTGGATGATATATTTATAGGAGGTTTTTCTTATGAGGATTGCCAGAAAAAATTAGAGTTAGTGCTAAAACGTTTGAATGAATTCAATGTTTGCATCAATATAGAGAAATGTAAGTTTTTTCAGCCTTCAGTTGATTATTTAGGTCATACCATATCCAGTCAAGGAATTAAGCCTCAAAAGGCAAAAGTGGAAGCTGTGCGAGAGGCTAGACCTCCTAAAAATGTCTCTGAATTACAAGCGTATTTAGGATTATTAAACTATTATCATAAATTTTTGCCTAATTTAAGTAGTGAATTACATGAATTGTATAAGCTGTTACGTAAAGGAGAAAAGTTTGTATGGACAGCTAAGTGTCAAAAAGTTTTTGATGAAAGTAAACGTCTGTTAGTCAATAATCAACTTTTGGAAATATATGATCCAAATAAACCCATAGTAATTTGTGCAGATGGGTCTCCGTATGGGGTAGGTGCTGTGTTATCACAGGTCGTAAATGGTAAAGAGAAACCCGTGTTATTTGCGTCAAGTTCATTATCGCCCGCAGAAAAGAATTATTCACAACTACATCGCGAAGCTTTAGCGATAGTGTTTGCAGTTAAAACGTTTCATAAGTACATTTATGGGAATAAGTTCACCTTATGTTCCGATAGTCAAGCTCTCCAAGAAATATTTAGTCCCAATAAAAGTACATCGGTGGTGGCGGCATCACGGTTGCAAAGGTGGGCAGTGTTGTTATCAATGTATGAGTATGAAATTAAGTATCGTCCGTCTAAGCAAATGTGTCATGTCGACGCGTTATCTAGATTACCTTTGGAAGTACCCACGGGAGTAGAGAGTATTTCTATTAATAGATTAAGCATAATTAGTGATTTTGAAATTAGTACAGAGAATATTGCCAGAGCCGTACAAAATGATTCCTTATTGAGACAAGTGTATAAGTATACATGTGAAGGATGGCCAAAAGATAAAGTATGCGATCGGTTACAATACTATTATAAGTTACGAAATAGTATTAGTACTCAGGATAAATGTTTATTTTTCGGAGATAGGTTAATAGTGCCGACTTCGCAGGTAGCAAATATTTTAAAGATTTTGCATAAGGATCATGAGGGTATAGTTCGTATGAAACTAGCAGCAAGAAGTATTTTTTGGTGGAAAAATATGACGGTAGACATAGAAACGGTTGTAAAAAATTGTGATATTTGTGATCAAACAAGTAATTTTAGAAAAGAACCGGTGGTATCCGGTTGGAAACGTACATCCAGACCACTAGAAAGAATACATATAGATTTTTTTCATTTTCAGCAACATACGTTTCTCATCATAGTTGATGTATATAGCAAGTTCATTGATGTTCATATTATGAAACGAACCAATGTAGAGGAATTGATCAAATATTTGCAAATTTTTTGTTCACGTTTTGGTTTGCCATTCGAAATTGTTAGTGATAATGGGCCGCCATTTAATTCGTGGAAGTTTGACTTGTTTGGGAAAGAAGATAATATTAAAATTACGAAAACACCACCTTACCATAGTCAATCGAATACATATGCTGAGCGTAGCGTACAAATAGTAAAAAAAATATTTGCATAAATACTTAATGGATAGGCGGTTGTCAAAGTTTACGATTGATGAGAAAGTACTGAGGTTTACGTCTGCATATAATAGTACACCATCATCGGTGACAAAAGATTCACCCTATGACAGGATTTTTTCTTACAAAGTGAGAAATGTCGCGAATTCGTTAAATCCTAGGTATGGTAGTGTAAACAATAAACTTAAAGAACAACATGTAACTGTAAACGTAGGTAATAAGCGTCATTCGCCCGTAAGAGAGGTTCCTAAATATTGTAAAGGGGAAGAAGTCTTGTATAGGAATCACTTTAAAAGTTATATTAAGTGGTTACCAGCTGTTGTGGTTGGTCAAAGGAGTCCAGTCGTATATGTAATTAAGCTAAGGGGTCAAGTTAGAACAGCACATGTAAATCAGTTGCGTTACCCTAGTAAACACAATACCATGTACTACGATAAATACGGTAAGATACTAACGAAAACTAATAAGGCTTTGAAAAGGCCAGGCGGCGAAGACGAAGTAGAGATACTTTCACCACGGGGGTTACTTAGAAGATCCGAGCGTACGAGAAAGGCGCCTGATAGGTTTACATTTTAGGTTAAGTCGTTAAGTGTTATAGTAGGTAGGTTATGAATGTATGTTTTTTAATAAAAAGCCGGAAAGTGTTGTGTACGTGTGAAAGGGCCTTAACCGGGTTGGTGGAAGGTAGTTGAGATGCGCATGCGTAGGACGGGATCGGTAGAGATAGTTAGTTTTGTAATGGTGGATCGATGTGTAGAATCTTACTCGTAGTAATAAATGTGAATAGAAAGTAAACGAGATCTATGAGAACCCACACCCAGACATAATAACAATGATCTACGATTTATTCACGAAACCTTTTGCCCATCAGCATTAAATATTTTGAGTCGGAAGATTTGAAACTCAATGACGCCCTTGATTCTTTAATGGCAGTTCTTAACCAAATGAAATCTATTCCAGGAGAATTTGGAAAGGGTTTAATAACAAAAGTTGATGCTATAGTGAACAGAAATCCCGATTTGAAGGTATTATATCAATTATACGAAGATAATCCAGAGCTAAGTGCACTCAGATACGTCAATTTATTACCACATTTTACTTTCGCGCTTATAACAAGATGTGACGATGAACAATCATTTTCAGCATTTAAAGATATTTTGACATCCAAAAGAACGAGCTTTACGCTAGAGAATCTCGAGAAAACGGTGTTTGTTAACTTAAATTCGCACTACGCAGCGCGGTACCGGTATGCCCGGTCCGACGTCAACGGAAGCGATGACGTTTCACTCCGACCGTGACGTGCTCTAAATTATACTTATTATACTAGCATAATTTAAATGTCCAATTTTTATTAATGCCGATGATTTAAAAATTGCAAAATACGTTTCTAGCATAGAGGATTGTGCACGCTAAACAAACTAAAGATAAATGAGAATAAATGCAAAACATTTTCTAGATTAATGACCAATATTAACTTTAATTTATACATTGAATGAATGATATTCAACGACGTCATTAATGACGTGTACCCATTGATTTGTTGCCTCGACTCTAGTGATGTGTTTCTCTTTATTTCAGGCTTCCCACTCACTGAGCTTTTGGAAAACTGAGTTCCGGATAATAGAGGTTCGACGGTCTGTATTAATTAAAGACTGTCCACGAAAATAATTGGCCACTGACATTGAGAACTCAGAAATGTCCTTTCGGATAAGTGCAAAATCCTTGGAAATTTCAAAGTCGACGATGTAAAATGTTTTGAATAACTTCAGTTAAGAGGACTCCATAGCCACGATTGTTATGGGATTTATAATGTTAAGTTGCGAACAAATATCTTATTCAAATGATCATCTATCTACATCAGTTTTTTTTTTATATATATATTTTATCTACAATCTAACCGAGCAATTTTGTAATATTCGAATTTTAAGCCACTAAAAACAATTTTTGAAAAAAATGTGTTTGAGGCGAAATACTTTAACCATTATTACACAGCTTCCAATAATGTTATAAAAATTTCCCTGACTTATTTTGTAGATATACTAATTCTACACTCGGTGGCAAAATTTCACAACAATGTACCAATAATTGTGGCTAGAATTTGATCGCAATTATTTGCAACGTTTTAGTCCATTCATAAATGTACGAATTCTATCCTTGTTTTCATCTCGTATTTGGGTATAAACTCGTCCTTCTTGTGGACACAATGGAAAATGCTTTCCGAATTACTCGTACTTTACCTGCTTTGGACCTCATCCTCTGTACAGGTGCAGCGGGGGTGGTCCTATTTACCACAAAATATTTTCATGAAATAAGTATAACATTACGAGTAGACCGCATAGCCCTGTACCTGACATTTTCCTAAATATGGCCAAGAGAAACGCTTGTAGAAAACGTCTAACCCTACGAAAAAAACGTCGTGGAAATCCACAGAATTTTATAAGAAAATCACAAAATGATGAAAATAAGGTAAGTGCTATTTTTTATTATATTTTTATAATATTGTTTTTATTAGTATATCATTATACGAGCATGTTTTCATGGCTCATATTCACAATGATAATACTTACTCATAAGCGAGCTTGTGAGCGAGTGGTATAAATTATCCCAGGGAATAAGAACCATCACATGCGAGATCAATTATTTTATTGCATGTGTACTTTCAGAGTGTCGGTTCATCTTCTGTTTCTGACCGTCCCCTTGATTTTCCGCAAGCGACAGTTATTCCCGAAAATTTGAGCGAAACTTGCAACAGTTCGACAGGTATGTTTGCCATCCATTGATATATTTGGATCATTTTTATCTACGACCGTTTAATTATTCACTTTTGACATCATTTATTTGAAATAAATGATCCTAGTCATAACTGATATGCGTGTAGTTATGAAATTCAACAGCTTTAACTGGCTAAAAATTGTCGATCATAATATGATCATACCTCAATGGTTCAACAATGTATCCTAGTGTTCCATCTAAAAAATTGTTACATTTTATTATGACAACCAAAAATTAAATTAACATTTTTAAAGTGTTGGTGCATTTCTTACACGTAGATAGATGGTCGTAAATAAAGTATAAGTATTACACTCGCATGTTATGGTTCTTATTCATTCAGATAATTTATACCTTATATTACCCTTGTGAATAAGAGCCATCATAACATGCTCGTATCATAATATATTAATAAAAATAATATTATAACTATATAATCAAGTATATAAGTAATTTTGTTTCTGTTTCAGATGTATTTACTGGACTTTATGACTTAGTTCAAGGAAATCGCATCATAAATGTTCCATACTTCCTAGAACAACTGAGGAGAATCTGCGAACATGGAAAACGTTTTGGTTGTTTTTTTATAAATTTAACGCTAAAGCAAGAAATCAGAACAGGACTTGTATCTAAATACATTTTAAAATGTGAAATGTGTCAAGATGTTTTCTATGTACATTCTCAAGAAACAAATGAAACCATTGATCTAAATACTTTAGCTGTCAAAGGCATTGCAAGCATCGGAGGTGGATACTCAAATTTAGAAGAGTTTTTGGGATGTCTAGATATACCTTGTATGGCGGAAGGAACATATCAGAATAGACACGAAACGGTTGCTCGTGCATGGGAACAAACAGCTATGATCCAAATGAAGGCAGCGGCGGAGGAAGAAATCCAGCATGCTAAAAAAACTGGATCTGTAGACAACAACGGTGTTCCTCTTGTTGAGGTAGTTGTGGATGGCGCGTGGTCAAAGAGATCATATAGAACCAAGTATAACGCTCTATCAGGTGTTGCAACAATAATCGGAAATCACACTGGAAAGGTTTTATACGTTGGTGTCAAAAATAAATACTGTGTGCATTGCGACCGGGGCGAAACAAAAAAAAGCCCTCACATTTGCACGAAAAATTTGTCTGGAAGTTCCACAAGTATGGAGTCGGAAATATTAGTGCAGGGTTTCAAATCTAGTTTAGCTATGTACGGAATTAAATATCACAGATTAATTGGCGACGGTGATAGCAGTGTCTACAGCAAAATTGTTGAAGCCAGACCGTATGTCGACACTACGGTCGAAAAAATCGAGTGCCGCAATCATTTGTTGCGGAATTACAGTACAAAGCTAAAAGATCTAACCACCAACACCAAATTTAGTTGCAAAGAAAGGAAGCTGCTGGAATCTCGACTGTTGCGGTTGCGAAGTGGAGTGAAGGGCGCTATCCAGCATAATAAACAAGTAGCGAATTCAATTAAAAATTTACGAGAAGATATTTTGAATGGTGGGGCTCATGTCTTTGGCTGCCATTCTAAATGTCGCGAGTAATTTTGTAACAAACCAGATGAGGACAATATCTTTGAAACACTATCTCCAGTTTTCAAAACGAAAATAATGGAAATTATAAGAAGACTTGCAAATCATGCGAGAAGTTTGCTGCATGACGTGGACAGTAATGTTGTTGAGCACTACAATTCAATTGTTGCTAAATTTATTGGAGGAAAGCGAATAAATTATGCATTCAAAAATTCGTATTCGGCTCGTTGCTACGCAGCAGTAGTAAGTCACAATACCAGCATGGCACATACGTTTTTTAAAAAAGTGCTTCTGCCCCATAGCAAACATGGGCAAATTATCAGTCGAATAGAAAGTAGACGAAAAATGAAATGTTCGAGACGGAAAACAATGACGAAGAGGAAGACATTCGCACCAAAAACGAGCAAGATGAATACAAGGCAACCCGATAAAGACTATGGATACGAATGCCAGAAAGCAGATATGGACCCTGAGACGTTTCAGATTGCGGCGGCCGAATTTCTAGAAAACCTCCAACGCAGTGAGCAAGAAAAAATTCAACTCGAAGAAAAAACTCGGTTACAAGACGAAAATGGGCTATGGATGGAGGAAAGAAGAAAGCTGGTAACAGCATCCAACTTCGCCAAAATTTGTAAAAGAAAAAAAAATCGGGACACATCGAAATTAGTACAAAATATTTTGTATAGTTCAAGAAATTTGGGAAACATTGCATCAATTAGACATGGGAAAGACCATGAAGACGAAGCAATAACTGTACTTGAAAACGTGGAAAAAATCAAAATAAAAAAATGTGGTATTTTTATTCATAAGAGATACCCATTCATTGGTGCATCGCCCGATTGATTAGTGGGGGACGATACAATAGTGGAAATAAAATGTCCATATGCAACATTTAAAAGCGAAATGACAATAGAAGAAGCTATTATTGCGAAAAAAATTACATTTTGGAGATGCAACAAAAATAGGGAAATCGAAATAAATCGAAAACATGATTGGTTCTTCCAAGTACAAGGACAACTACATGTTACTGACAGAAAACAATGTATTTTATTCGTTTGGGCTGGGAAATCATTTTAATTGGAATACATTCAACGAGACGAAGAGTTCTGGAGTTCTCAAATGGAAACAAATCTACTAGAATTTTACAAAAAGGCTTTATTACCCGAATTAGTAGATCCTAAGCGAACAAGGAATTTACCTCTGCGAAACATTATTCTATGAAATACTACCAGTTTCAATTATTCAGTCAACAATTTTTTACGCATTAATGTATCATAATATAATAGTAATTGTACATATTTTCTTTTTGTTTTTTTAACTTTTAAATTGTTCAGACAGTTTTTATTCTTGAAATAAATAAGTTTATACATATATAGAAACTTTGTCTTGTTTGAAATTTTTTTTTACCGGATAAAACTTATGCAGTTTTCTTCGTGACAGATGAATACAAATTTTCTCGTTGGTTTGTCAAGCTGATTTATACAGGGTTAGAATAAAGTACCGGAAGGTTCTAATAACTTTGTTATTTGCAAAGCTTTTTTTTAATTTGGTGTGGACGTACAGGTAGTCATACGTAGCGGATTTTTCTATTTTTTTTTTCTCTCTTTCGGTTTGACAGAAAGGCTTCCTACTTTGAAATGGACGATACTACCACGAGATCGAAAAAGAAATAGTCAAAATTGGCCATGTACGACAAGCCGTTTGTCGTAATTTAATTTTTTTTATTAAATGTCAGATTGACAGTTTAAAATTAGAATTATGACAACTACTTTTAAAACACATAAAAATAAATCAAAACCACCGTTTTCCAATTTTGTCCCATTTCTGAAGTAAGAGTCTAACAAAAAAGCTTTAATTTCATTTAATAACTTTGCAAATTACTTTTGTCAACGTGACGTTTAATAAAAAAATATTTTAAACTAAGGCAAACGGCTTTTCGTACATGGCCAACTTTGACTAATTAAGTCTTTATTAAATTTGTAAAGAATAAAAATAAACGTGTTGATAATTTTGGAAAGTAGTTTTTTATTCTACATCAAACAATGTAAAAAAATCTGGGTGTCCTATTAAAAAAAAAAATAGGAAGCCTTTTCTGTCAAACCGAAAGTGATAAAAGAATGAAGAATGTTCTAATCAATCCCCTAGAAAACCTGTTGTATAATAAATAACAAATAACTTTGGTATGATTTTTTTCGGCGAAATTTGTGTGAAAATTAACTCATAGCTGTTTTTCTGGAATATTCACAATCGTTTCCTTCGTTGACTCGTCATGATTTTCGTTGCAATCTGTTAACTTGTGTCACAAATTTTGTCGAAAAAATCAGAACAGCAATTACGTTATTGTTATTTTTTCTTGTATTACTCATAAACTTAAAATTTTGGTGGCATTCTCAAATACCAGATTTCAATTCCGTTTTGCATTTGCATTAGCATTACAAAGAATCCTCGTCTAAGCAGGTAAGCAGACTGTGCCGCTTGTTGTGTTGTAAAAATTAGTACGACTACAAATGACGAGAAGAAAAATTTATTTTAAAATTGAAACTCTGGCCAGATGTTGTCGTTGAGGAGTCCTCTTAACATTTACCTATTAGTCGCAAACCAGGTTCAGGCAGAAAATCTGGTGCTGTATGTAAAATTATGGAAAAAAAGGTGTTAAGGTCCTTCAAGCAAAATCCCAATGACTCTGTGAGAGATGTGGCGAAAGAAATTTATTTGGAGAAATGGTTGAAGAAGGGGTTGTTGCCACTTCTAAAAGATCACTACTCTTTTCTGGCCCGATCTAGAAACAGCACACTGCGCAAAGTCAGGAAATATCTTTTGCACCCAAAAACAGTAATCCACCTAGCTGCCCCGAGTTAAGGCCCAATGAAAAATATTGTAAAGCGGGAACTAAGAAAAACAACAGACAGAGCTAAGAGCATTACTGATTTTGAAAAAATATGGAACAAAGCATCGAATAATGTTAATTTAAAGTTCGAGATTTTAGTTATGGACTCGTTTGAATCAAATTGGTTACAATATGTTATACATTGCTTTAAGATCATCCTTATGTTACAATGTTAAGTTGAAAGTTTCATAAATAAATATTTTATCATTTTTTTTTAATGTGAATTTTTTTCGTGGACAGTCTTTATATGCAGGTTGCAAGGATTTATTCACTCACCTCTGTTCCTCCAATCTCGTGAACCACCCATTGGTGGGCCTCGATGGTCTCGTCTGTCTCTATTCCATCCACCAGGGCGTTGTGGATGCCAATTACCTTGTCTCGGAGGGGCCCTATCGTAACGACTATGGTGATAATTTCGGTCACGATAGTTTGCACCTCTATAATCGTTACCTAAAAAAACATTTCTCAGTAAGAACAATATACAAACAAATAAATACAACTGTAATCTATACCAACGGATCATAATCATTAATCGCGGCCCAATTGGGTCGTGCAAGTTTATATACCCGCTTCCTTCAGGATATTATTATTATTATTATTATTCAATTCAGAGCTGAGGTAGTACAACCTATTAAGCTCCACACTGTTTCGATGTCTCAAAAATAATAAAACAGAAAAAAAAAAAAAAAACGAGAAAAGCAGTAAACATTTGTTCATAAATAGATGCTAAACAGTTACATCTATCTCAATAGAGTAATACACAATCATGCCGACGTTTATTCCGACCACTGATTTTTGAAATAATATAATATTCTTTGCTCAATTTCGCGAAGTTCGGACGGAGTACAATTGCCCTCGCTTTCCATGCCCCTTGTTTAAAGAATTATTCGCAAAATTAAATTTCGTTGTTCAAATGTTTGAAAATAAACAACGTATGGTGACAAAAAATCCCTAAATCTCCTTTTTTTATTTTACCAAATTTTTGATTAAACAACGCGCAAAGTAGAAAAAATAGAGTATTATACTCGTTTCATAAGACGCATCTTTGCACTCGTGTCTTTGAAGCACCCTTCGCTTCGCTCGTCGTGCTTCAAAATACTTGTGCGCCAAAAGAGCGTCTTATGCAACTTGTATAATAATATACTATTTCCTAACTCTGCTGTTATACTTTTCATGAGATGCAGGGTGACTGCGAAATATGCGCAATAACTGCCTGATAGTAACTGAAAATATCTTTGACATAACCTAAATCTCAGTCATAGATCCTATATTTGATTTTTGAAAGTCCACAAATCAATCCTTACACAGTTGGTAATGCAACCAACGTTACATTAATTATCCTATGTATAGAAAAACGGTTTATCAGTTTGTAGAAGTTTTTAAAAATAGCCAAATTAATGCATACATTAAAATTCGTAGTTCAGCTACAATTAACGACATTATATATAATTTAAATTCGAAACTGTTAAACCGAATGCTATGAAATCTTGCAAACCTCGTAATAAAGGCGGCCACACACAGAGAGGGAAAAGTCAAGACTTGATTACACGAGTCACGGGGTACACTTAAAACTTCTAGTGTGTGGGGAAGAATATGGCATGTGCAGTCAAGTCTTCTGGAATCAAAATTGTCGTGATTTTTAGCATGTGCAGTTATAACTGCGCGGGGATAACTCTGTGTGTGGAGACAAGTAGCTGCACCCTTGAGTTTTAATTCAGTAGCGCCGTATTTTTGAAGGAAGTCTGACTTATTTTACAATTTTTTTATAATACAAATCTACGGCACTGTCATGAAATAAATATCTTTTTTCGTTAACATATCGATGCAGATTTGCTACAGAACTGACGGGAAAGCAGGTGTGTGTGTGCATTTAGAGAATACGGGTTTAACTTAACACAAGCATACGCACTTTTAACTGAACAGTCTTCCCTCTCTGTGTGGGGGCCTTTAGGTTATCGTCATTACTACAAATCGTTAATCAAAATTTAAACGTTTATGCACTCCCAAAAAATTTATAACGTCATCTCAAAATTTTGCTGAATAAATCCCATCGAAAATAGGTAAAATTTTATGAATCTGTATTTGTGGTTTATGAACGCATTCAAATTTTTAGAATTGTGGTAGCTCAGCGGTTTATTAATAATAAGAATAAAACAAATCAAACAAGTATTTGTATGGGTTCTCGAAGGAGCGGAAATCTCGTCGGGGGTGGTGGCGGCTCCTGGAACCTGCATAGTGCGACCCTGGAGATGACGATGACGGGACCGAAAACGGTGCACCCCTGGTGATGCTGATGCGGTGCAGGGGACTGAAAACGGTGTAGCCCTGTGATGAAGATCTTGAAGCGGCGCAGAGGACCGTAAAACAGTGCAGCCATGGTGATGATCTCGAAGCGACGCAGGGGACCGTAAAACAGTGCAGCCCTGGTGATGAACTCGAAACGGCGCGGGGGACCGTAAAACAGTGCAGCCCTGGTGATCACCAGAAGGGGACCGAGACAGTGCAGCCCTTAAGGTGGTGATGGTGGAGTTCCATCTGCCCGAAAAGTGGCCGCGCTGGCCCTCATATAGGCAGGGTTGAGTTGCGTGGGAGTACCTGCGTAGTGACGCAGCTCAGGTGGGGTGCGTTCCAGTGAGGGTGAGCATAGTGGAGTTGAGACTGGCGCTGCCGAGGACAGCGCCCTTGAGAGGGTACTAGCGGAGCGCTTTGGAAGCTCCGCTACACAATTAATTACACAGGCTGACTCACAAAGACTAACGAATGAGCCAATCTAATTTACTGATCAAATCAAGAACGGCGCACCCCGTTTTCCCGAAAATTTAAGTATACAGTACTGGTAGTATTATTCGTATTACCTTGTACCTATTCAAATTGATACATGTCCTTCACAAAGTGTTGATTATATGGAAAAACTCCCTTGAAATAAACGCATAGTATGCTTCTTTCCTGTACTTTATGAATTCACACATAATTTTATTACAACCTACCATAAACAACTTATCATAAAAGAATTAAACTCGTAAAAAATAATTTTAGTTCCAGATGCTTTTCCGATGTATGAATATAAAGACTTGAAGTTAAGTATGTTATTATTGCTGAGAGGCCATTTTTTCCCGTTCGTCAACAATTTTAAAGGCATATTATATTGTATTATTTATGGTGCTGGTTTTTACCTTACAGAGGTTATATCAAAACAAGCGGGATTTATTGTTGGACTAAACTTTTGTTTTAATTGCCTCCATATTTCAGGTGTTAAATAATTTTTTATGTGGAAAATGTTGGAAAGTGAACCGTGATGTATCCTGAAATAAAAGAGGCGGCACCAAGCATGGAAGAACAGCTACTTCCCGAAAAATTAAAAAAACTGTATTCTGAATATACATTCAGAACTTAAAGCTGGTGCTTGGGAAAAAAATTTGAGCAACGTCTGAAAATGTGCTTCCAAGAACAGGACAAAACAAAAAAGGCATCCACATTATGGGCAACGTATTCAATGCTCAAATCCACAACTTCCCTAAAAGAAAACATTAGGATCAAAAATTATCCTCGACTTATGTCATTACTCAAGCGACAAAATGTATGTTATAAAGCTAAAAAATCCCTTGTGTTTTCACAAGAAGAAATCACTCGATCTTTAACTGAAGCTCCTAATAAAGATTTTTTTATTAAAAAATTGGTCTAAAGAGTTAAGACAGTGCTTTCCTCGCTGTCGGGAACGTGACGACTGCAAGCCTATTATGTCTTTTTGTACATTTTTGTAATTCTTGATTTAATCAATAAAATTAATTGACTCAGTCATTCATTTTTTGCGGACACCCTGTATAAGCAAATCTAAAAAATATTAATGCAGTGATAAATCACTAGTATAGACTCATCATTCTTTACACATTTAAAATATCATTTTTTAGGGGGGGATAAGCAAATACGTTTCGATAAAAATTTTACCATGCTTATGATAAATTTAAAACATCTCCAAGATTTCAAAGCATTCGGTTTTGTAGTTCCTGATTAAATCAATAAAATAAATTATCACTTTCATTAATTTTTTTGAGTCAACCTGTATATGCAAATCCAAAACATATGAATGGAATGATAAATCACAACTACAGACTAATCATATTTTGCACATTTAAGGTAGAATTTATTCAGCAAAATTGTGAGGTGGCGACATTAATTTTTTAGGGGGGATTAGCAAATACATTTTGACTATAAATTTATCATGCCTATGACAACTTTAAAACATCTACAAGATTTCAAAACATATGAATGGAATGATAAATCACAACTACAGACTAATCATATTTTGCACATTTAAGGTAGAATTTATTCAGCAAAATTGTGAGGTGACGTCATCAATTTTCTAGGGGGGATTAGCAAATACATTTTGACTATAAATTTATGATGCCTATGACAACTTTAAAACATCTACAAGATTTCAAAACATATGAATGGAATGATAAATCACAACTACAGACTAATCATATTTTGCACATTTAAGGTAGAATTTATTCAGCAAAATTGTGAGGTGACGTCATCAATTTTCTAGGGGGGATTAGCAAATACATTTTGACTATAAATTTATCATGCCTATGACAACTTTAAAACATCTACAAGATTTCAAAACATTCGGTTTTGTAGTTGCTGATTAAATCAATAAAATAAATTCACGCATTCATTAATTTTTTTGAATCGCCCTGTATATGCAAATCCAAAAAATATGAATGGGATGATAAATCACAAGTACAGACTCATCATATTTTGTACATTTTAGATAGGATTTATTTGGCAAACTTTTGAGCTGACGTCACCAGTTTTTTGGAGAAGATAACCAAATATATTTTGACTAAAAATTTATTATGCTATTTATAACCTTAAAACATCTTCAAGATTTCAAAACATTCGGTTGTGTAGTTCCTGATTAAATCAATAAAATACATTTACGCACTCATTAATTTGTTTGGGTCACCTGTATATGCAAATCCAAAAAATATGAATGGAATGATAAATCACAAGAAGAGACTCATGATATTTTGTACATTTTAGATAGGATTTATTCAGCAAAATTTTGTGGTGACGTCAAAAATTTTTCAGGGGGGATGAGCAAATATATTTTGATCAAAAACTTACCATGTTTATGATAACTTTAAAATATCTTCAAGATTTCAAAGCATTCGGTTTCGTAGTTCCTGAGTAAATCAATAAAATAAATTTACGATTCATTAATTTTTTTGAGTCACCCTGTATATGCAAATCCAAAAAATATGAATGGAGTGATAAATCACAAGTACAGACGCATCATATTTTGTACAGTTTAGATAGGATTCATTCGGCAAACTTTCGAGCTGACGTCATCAATTTTTTGGAGGGGATAAGGAAATATATTTTGACTAAACATTTATTACTCTTTATAACCTTAAAACATCTGCAAGATTTCAAAACATTCGGTTTTG